GTTAAGTTAGTAACATGGCTGTTATGTGAACTTGGCTTCCCCATTGAATTTGCTTGTCAGAAAGTTACCACAGGTGATCACATGACCCCGGGACACTGCAACCGTCATATATATGCACCAGTTACCAAGCATCTGAATTTTGATCACATGACCATGGGATGCTGCAACAGTTTAAGTGTGAAAAATGGTCAGACTTCCGTTTTTTGCATCTGCAGCGCATGGCCGCGCGAAAGCGGTCCTCCGCTCCCCACAACTAGTTTCTTCCTGCTTGGGGGACCCTAGATGGGTCCAAAGTTGCCCCAGAGAGATGACTGTGAAGGAGGGGCCCCCTGTCGATTTGATTTAAAATATTTCAGTGTGGACAAACCTAGGAACTAAAAAACTGTCAAGATTATACCCTAAAAATTTTTTTGATGGAATTATAAAAATATATAACAAAAATAACTTTTTGATTGAAAGAAAAACTAAAAAAAGAAATAACTGCTGACATCTAGTGGAGAATCAGAGAATAGAACACTAACAATAAGGACCCCAAAATTGGCAGAATGCCCAGAAACAAAGAAAAAGTTGTTCCTTTGAATTGAAATAACCTTGAAGACAGCTGGGAACAAAGGAAGAGCCAGCTATAAGATTAAAAAGTGTTTGAAAGGGGAAAAAAACCTGAACTGTTGCTTAAAGCTAAGAACTGTTTATGGGGAAAAAAACCTTGGCTTTTTGGCTAATCTTTTAGAGGAGAATTTGCAGGAAGGATTTAAAGTGGCTTAATATATTGAACCTGTAATTTTGACTGACTGATAAATTGACTTTTGAATTAAAACATTGATGAAAGATTATTTGAAGGGGGGGAGGCAACATGGATATCACATACGTATCAAAAAATGACAGGATGCCACATTCAATATTTTCTCCTGAAGGACTTAGCCTGGAAAATCAAGGGCCTCCAGAAGCAATACTTCAAGGCAAGATAAATACTTTTCCGGAGGAAATATATGTAATGTTAGGACAAATACAAATGACAATAGATTCAAACCACGATGAGATTTGAAACAACTTTGAGGGATTTAAATAAGCATATTTCCAATCTAAATCTACAATTAAAAAATACCCAGGAAATAACAACAAAGGAATAAACAAATCAGACAGAAGTTTACAAATTAGAAGAGTATGATCAAATTGATGAAATAACAAAGGAAAAATATTACAATTTGACACAAACAGGAAAAAATCTACAAGGTTCTGATACAAGAAAAATTGAATTATCAGGAGAACTATTAAAGTTTGGGGGACAGAAAAAATTTATCTTACTTACTTCATCTTTTGTATTCCCAACATTTGTAAAAATACAGGTACTGTTGGGTAAGCAGATTACACCAACTTGGAAAATTACTTGGCAAAAGAAGATCGGAGACAGATACAAGAGATTTGACTCGTCCTACCAGATGGACTATTACGTGAATAAACATTTGTTTGAATATGGCTAAAAGAACAGAGAATTTCAAACATAAAGGGGCCTTATAACAAGAAGGATAATGAGATTTAAGTAATATAGTATATTTTATAACATATTAAATGTTAAAATAGTAGGTTGATGTAACTTTTATTAATATATAAGTAAAATATAAACTGATTAAAAAGGTTATATATAGATACTATAAGAGAGATAAAAAGTATAGAAGTTTTATAATGCATAACATAAAATATTGGGATGATGTACCTAAATGGGAAAATTTAGACAGTGAGATGACTAATATGAAGAAATTATGACTGATAAGAATTGGATTGAATATAAGGGAATCCAAGCGAACAAAAATTATAAAAATAGGATGTATGCTGAACTAATGAGATGATGGTTATGAAAATAATATACGGTGAAAAAAATGTTATATATATAATTATTATTTGTATAAATATAAAAATGCCTATACCTAATATTTATATATTGAAAATATTAAGAATTATATTTTGGCTAAGGTTGAAGAAGGAAAATACAAATGGGAGAAGGGAAGATCAAAGAAATGTATTATTAATTAATATATTAATTATGGAATTATCAAATTTAATCATTATTGACTGTTAATTAATTATTACTGTCCTTTTTTTTCTTGTTAAAATATAAACCAAGACAACACACTGTATTCCAAGCATTGGAGATTGTTATAGTTAAAAACCAATAAAATATCTACTTTAAAAAAAAAGAAAGAAAAGAAAAATGGCCATGTCACTTTTTTCACTGCTGTTGTAACTTTGAACAGTCACTAAATGAACTGTTGTTAAGTCGAGGACTATCTGTATAGTCTCCAGAACAGAACATAACCCATTACAGAATTCTTTCACCTGATACTTGATTGATACTGAAATATCATTTACCTGGAAATAAACTGCAACAGTTTTGCTTGCATTAAGCGATTGATTCCATTCCTCCCATGAATTTTGAAAAAGATTATTTAGCCAAGATCTAGGTATTTTACAATTCTACACAAAAGCTACCACATACATTAGTACCAATTGGGAATCCTTATCGCTGTAGCTCTTCGACGAAATTGGATTTATGTATTGCAATTTCTAAACTGAGAAGATTCTGAACGTGATGCCTCCTTGGATGTCAGTCTTGCAGCTTGAAATTTTGTATCCTCTCATCCTAGATATGAAACAGCTTCAAAACAATTCTTCTTTAGCACCTCTTCACTTATTCAGCTTCCTTCTTCACGCTGAAAAATTTCATGCAATTATTAAACCACAAGCAACTCTTTTTGGTTTTTCAGAATAAAATTCTTTGTTAAAACAACTTTATTTCCTAATGCTTCATACTTGCCAAGAGGTTTTACATTTAAAAAAAAGAAGAAGAAATTATCCAATTCAGAGGTGTTATTAACTAATTACGGATAACAGATTAACTCTGTAGAAAGCTGCTATTGAGAAAGAAAAAAAAAACCTTTCTCCTTGCCTTTTTGTTATACAGCAGCCATTGTCACCTTGACATATCTTCCTCCAAAGGTACTGTAACCACAAATCCCACAACTCTTCCTCTGGCTAGCCAGGCTGAAAATTCTGGGATTCGTAGTTCCAGCACGACTGAGTTGGGAAAGGCTTCTGGAAGGTTTTACCACTTGACCAGTGCTTCCTTTTACAGTAGGCAATTTGAAATTAGACAACATAAAAATCAGAGCTAGGATACATGTTATCATTGAAAAGGCCTGGCCGATGCCAAGTTCTCCCCAATTGCGTAATATTCAGGCCATTTTGCTGCTAAAATGCAAATAGCAGCAAAATAGCCTAAATATTATACAATTGGGGAGAACTTGACATAGCCCAGGCCTTTCCAATGATAGCATGTATTCTAATTCTGATTTTATAGCTTCCTTCTATAAATGGAATGGTGTTAAAATAATGGACTGTAAAAATCAATCATCTTTTAGCAGTCACCAAATTACCAGATTATTAAATCAAACAATAATTGTATAACTAAATATCAGAAGCAAAACATCTACAACATGTCTGGGTATTCACATTTGAAGATCATGGGAAAGTTTTTTTGATCAGAGTAAATTCCAACTGAAAGTAAATGATTGATACAAATCTAAAATTGTAATTTATTGCACTGCGATGTATTAGGCTAAAATTTTCATCTAAGGCTCTGGGGGCAAAACACAATGGATATTTAAATCTAACATAACTAAAACAGGACCCAAAGGGAGTGTTGACTTAGTGCTACACATACACACACAAAATGAGCTTACACACATCTCTGCTGCTGTGGCTAAGTAGAGGGGGAGGGCAGAAAAACCAGTTTTACAAGTACCTTATTTTTTCACGTAATACAAACTAGGATTTTATATATAAACCACATGTAAAAACTCTATTACCTTAACTGTTGTGTCCCTTTTGTATGCAAATTTTCTGTTTGTAATTCTTCTGAATTAAAGTGCAGTAAGGAGGAAGAAAGGGAGCCTCTCCAAAGGGCATCTTACCTGACATTTGTGTTGAGATAAAAGCATAGATTCGAACTACCTGCTTCTCAGGTAATCCAAGAGTTCAGTGCCAACTTATTACATTTATTTCGTTATTGTTTATTAAAATTTGCATCCCACCTTATTATTTTTACAAATAACTCAAAGTGGCAAACATATCCAAACACATCTTTCTTCTCTTCCTACATTCCCCAGAACAGTAACCTTGTGAGGTGGTTTAGGCTGAGAGTGAGTTACTGGCTCAAAGTCAGCCAGCTGGCTTTCATGGCTAAGGCGGGACTTGAACTCATGGTCTCCTGGTTTCTAGCCTGATGGCTTAACCACTAGACAAAACTGGCTGTATAACTCAAGGTTCAAACTGGCTCTGGCTTAAGGTTATAGCTAACCTAACCTTCTGCCCTCCCTCACACCCCCCCCCCAAAGGTCAAATACAATATTCCAGGTCTGCCTCCTAATTTTATATGCCTGGGATGAAAAAAATGGTCATTGGTACTTGCTTGTGATGGGTCTCCCAACATTCAGTTTGCAAAAGAGAGGTAGGCAGGAAACAGCTTTAAAGTGACAGACGATTCTTTTATATTTAAAAACCAAATAATAATATTAATAATAATAAACCCAGATTAAATAAAATGTACAGTGAATATACCCAGCCAACATCTGTATGTGCAATTAAATACGGCTCCATACCGCGGCACAACGCTGAACAAAACAATATACACGGGTTCCGGAGGGGGGGGCAAAGGGGACATGTTCCTCCACACAAAAATAATAATAATAAAAAAAACAGAACCTCCCCCCCAACAAAACAAAAACAAAACAAATCAATGTCTCTTCTCTTCATTTTGTCCATATAAATATCTCCAGGAAATTTTCCCCCTCTACCACCCAAATTAAAAAAAAAAGGGAAAAACAAAAGAAAGAAGGGGGAGGCGCATGTGGAACTAAAGGAGGCTGGTCAAGGGGCCGTTGAGGGGGGGGAGGGAGAGAGGCTGGAGAGGCCAGTCCAATGTGCTTGTTGCCCCCCCTCCCGCCCCTCTGTCTGCTCCTATTGGGAGCTGGCACGCTCCAGCACACGCAGGTCGTAGTTCTTTTTGGCCATACGCAACTTGAAGCAGTTAAGAGAGTTGTTGAGATGCAGGGATGCGTTTTGGGCTGCCAAAGGGCTGGGGAAGACGGCCACGATGGTGTATAAGGCAGCGAGGTCAGAATGCCTGCCGTTCTCTGCAGTCCCGTGGTTATTGTCGCCCCCGCCCCCAGGACGCCCCTGAGTTTCTTTGAGCCACTGGATTTTGGCACCAGACATGGCTAACTGGGTGAAGAGCTTGTCGGCCTCGGTACGTGTGATCCCTTCAGGCAGGTCGGTAACTTCCAAGATACGGCCCAACACTGTTGGAAGAGGCAGCCGGAGCAAAGAGGAAAGAAGAGAAATATGGTTAGTATCCTCCTCTTGGGGGGGGGGGAGCAAGAGGCTGAACAAAACATGAGGCAATTTCAGCTTTCGTTAAGTTACTAACTTTCTAGATCTCTACCTCTCCCAGGCCAACAGTCTCCCAGGACTGAATTCTTTGTCTTTTAGAGCTTTTGGCTACTGGCCTTGGAAAGAGAACCTAAGGACCATGGGAAAGTTAGTTTTAGAAGTCCCACTTTCTTGAAAGCGAAAGAGTAACTTCATCACTTATTACCTCCTTTGAGGCAACGAACGCCTGTGCCTTAAGTCAAGCAAGCAAGGCTGAGGATCTCCTTTGCTACATTACTACAGTAGAGCCTGTTTAAATGAAACACTTCCCCCCCCCAGCCGTGTAGGATGCCATATCTCCACGTATCAAATTGCTTTTGTCAGGCTTTGGTTATTATCAATGACCTCAGTCCCTCAGCAACGTCTGCAAAACGCTACACCAACCCTCCCTCTTTTGGGAAACTATTCCAGCATCTCAGCCAGTTCCTCTCCATCTGTTTCATCATATTAGACATTAGTAGGGATAGCCAACTGTGGAAAAACACAAGAATGTAATGAGGTTTTTTTGTTTTGTTTGTTTGTTTTTTCAGAAACAAGACAAAATCATTTTAGTTCTATCCAAAGGCATGGGATCCAATGCAGAAAGTTGATTTCTAATCAAGTCCAGCTGGGTGCTATTTGTCAGTACACTAAACATACCATGAACATGCTGTAGGCAGCCAGCTGATCGTATAGTTAGAACCATGAGGGATGGGCAATCAGGTTTAGAGAAGATAATACTGCTAACTTCACGTACGATCCATATCAAACAACATCAGCACTGATGCTTTTAGTTTTTATGAGCACCGTTTTGTCTATTGCCTTCAAACACTTGGATGGCAACGTTGCAAAGCAGATCGCAAACGAAGGAGACCTATTCAAACAATCACTCATCTTAATCAGATACAGTATGTTACATACTACTGCACAGATGCCTAATCTGAGGCCAGAGAACTACCCATGACCCCAAAATAACTTGGGCATCATCTCTGGAGACCCATCATCACCAGGTTATTATCTAATTATCAATTAAAATCCTACAGAAAAGGAAAAAAACGCATGAAAACATGTGCCCTCATCTTCAAGGACATTCTGAAACCTCCATGAGTTGACAGGACCAAAGAGCCTGCACAGAGGGGGCACATGCACCCTTAAAAAGCCCATCATCAAAGATCTATGCCAATGGCTTGATTTAATCTGGTTGTCCTTTTTTTTTTTTTTTGAGATTCTCATGGATACATTCCTGTACTCTGTGCACTGCATTCCCTTTTGGGGGGAAATTTCAGAGAGGGTTTACAAATGCAGGAAGAGGCGGGAGTGGGCTGGTCAATGCAGGCACTCATATCCCTTAGGTGCATTTGGTTGCAACGGAATATTGAAACTTGTTGGCTTGAGACCTGTTGCTGGGTGACTGGTCAAATGGAGCCCTGGTAGCCTCTCTGACTCAGCGTCCTTTCTGAGATATGCCTGGTGCATGCTAGTAATTATTAATTAATTACTTTATTGATTAGCCCCTGGGCCATCTCAAGGCACAGAATTCCAAACACACGTTATGCCAGGGGTAGGCAACCTTGGCTCTTTTATGACTCGTGGACTTCAACTCCCAGAATTCCTGAGCCAGCATGGCTCAGCTTGGAAACCTCTCCCTTTCCCCTCAGCATGGCTGGCTCAGGAATTCTGGAAGTTGAAGTCCATGAGTCATAAAAGAGCCAAGGTTGCCTACCCCTGTGTTATGCTAAAATGCAGTAGAAACAATTTAAAATGGAACTGGTTAAAATATAATTTAAAGTAAAAAAATAAAATTCAATTTAAAACAAAATTGGGATAAAGTACATTTTTAAAATGAAATTAGAATCAAATACAGCAATTTAATATCTAGATAGATAAAATATGATAAAATTATATTTCACTTTCACGGTGTATGCTATCTTTTCAGCACCAGGCAAGGAGGTCTATAGCTTATGGGTCTCATCTATCGTTCTGTTAACTGTAAATTCAATGCTGTAATAATGTTTGTAAGTATCTAATTGCGGCTTTTTATTTTACTGTATGCTTCAATCATCGTTCATATCATTTAAATTACAAGTGTACGGTAAACGATCAAGCAAAATCTGGTTTTTGAAGGGCACTATACATAGAATTTAAAAAAACAAAGAAAAAAAATTGAAAAGAAAAATGTCTTCCAAAGAATGTATTACAGGTAGTCCTTGACTGACGACCGCAATTGAGCCTCAAATTTCTGCTCCTAAGTGAGACATTTGTTAAGCAAAATTTTGCCTCATTTTATGACCTTTCTTGTCACCATTGTTAAATTAGTAATATGATTGTTTAGTGAAACTGGCTTCCTCATTGACTTTGCTTGTCAGAAGGTCACAAAAGATGATCACATCACCGCGGGACACTGCAACCGTCATAACTATGAATCAGTTGCTAAGCATCCAAATTTTGATCACGTGACCATGGGGATGCTGCAACAGTTATAAATATTGAAAATAGTCATAAATCATTTTTTTCAGTGCTGCTGAAGCTTCAGTCACTAAATGAACTGTTGTAAGTTGAGGACTACCTGTATTATAGAGGTAAATCACAGTGTTGTAGATTAGCAGGGGGGAAAATGATAGGAAAATACTGAGATTTAAATATATACAGGCTATATAAATGTGACAGCTTCCTAAACAATTCTGGGGAATGCAGTTTGGTGGGATGCTTCTAACCACTCCACTTTAAATACAATTCTCCCAACGTATTCACAAGAGAATGATTGAGGCAAAACATTTATAACACCCCCCAAAAAAAATCCTTTCCTTATAGATGGTTCATAAAAAAAATATCCTATCAAGTTGGAAATTAGTATCAGAGGATGACTGCGTGGGTATGCATCTTGATCGGTATCTAATCTATATTTCTCCATATCCCTAAATAAAAGACTCTGCTGGGAAAAGGTGACGTAAGCAGACAAGGAAATTTCCCTGCAGTCACCTTTATATACACACTGAATCGTTTTTTGCAAGGGTTCTGTGCTCAGGACATTAGTCCCACTGACTAAGTCCCTTGGCACCATATCTGAATGTGTGTGTCTCAAGTATGGGAGCATCACAGCAGTTCCAGTTTCCAGTTAGTAGGAGCGCTGGGTCCTGGCAGGCAGGATTCTTTGCTAATATTACCCAGGTATGTAACAAATATAGCCCCAAACAATTTTCCATTGGAGAGTGCAAACAGAGTGGCTTAAAGGAACAGCTCTAGTTTGTTTATGGGATTAATTTCAGCACCACCCTTCAACGATTGACATGGGAACTTTTTTTTTTTTTTTTTGCTACTTAGCCTGCCTTGCACAAATCAAATTTGCTTACTATTTCCCCAAAACGAACGAGACTCCTGAACAGTTAGTTTCACATGGCCAACTTCCTGAAAGTCCACATTATTACATTTTTTTTTTTAAAAAAAGGCATCTGCAGAAGAAAATGAGTGGGCTGAGTGTCTATAAACCCTGTACTGATAAGAGAGAAAAGACAAGCATGTAAAAGGCTGGCTCTATTAGACCCATATTTTTTTGGGAAGCTTGAAGAAATAGTGGCACTATGCTGGAAGCACTGTGGGATGCCAATGCAATAGATTTTGCTATTTGCTATTGCTGTCAGGCAAGTCCATTAGGACTCACCCAGAAGAGGGCACCTGGGACATTTGTTGAGGTGAGAGACCCCCAAAAAATTATGAGTAGCACCGGAATGGATCAGACATCCTGCAGCACACTTACATCTTCAGATGCAAAGTGTAGTACAGGTACTCCTTGACTTACAACTAGAATTGAGCCCAAGGTTTTTCAAGTGCCGTTGTAACTTCGAACAGTCACTAAACAAACTGTTGTAAGACAAGGACTACACCTCCATAAAAAAACAGTTTACTGTTACCAAATTCAAAGGCATGATCAATCATGAGTTTGGAGTCCAAGCTCTGGTGAAAGTAACACAACAGATCTTCACAGCCAAATGGCACTAGCACCTACATCAATTTAATCCTTTCACGTCAGGTTAAACCTGGCCACGCTGGCTAGGAATTCCTGAAGTTGGGATGTTCTAGTTCTAGATAGCTACTGTAATGGGACTGGGGAGCTGCCACTTGCCTACATCACTTGTCCCAAGATCTGTGGATGCTGACTTGAGAGCTTGCTTCTTACTTCGGTTGCCATGCTTCATCCCTGTTTGTGCCTGTAATGGAAGAGCAAAAGAACAGTAACGTAGATACACAAATATGCTACCCTTCACATTTTTATGCTGGAATTTATTCCAGGAGCTGGTGCTACATCCTGCAAAGTTTAATCTCACATATTCTAACCCAGGGCTTTTCAACCTTTTCACAGATTGTACCACTTTTAGGACATGACAATATTTGAGTACCACCAGTGCTTAGCAAGGTGTCAAAAACTTGATGACTAAAAAAAAGGGGGGGCAAGATTTTGGGTTTTACTGATTAGATTAATTTGTTGTTATAGAAATGGCTAGTTTATAATATTATGGAAAAGTAAAATGTTGAGGTTCAGTGTTAATGCTTCCTTCTACTGCAACAGAGGAAGTCAGTTCTTTTTCCCTTCTCCCCCACACTTTCCCCCCCTTTTTCCTCCCCACTGTGTCCTACTATTTGCTTTTGTATTTTTGTATTTTATTCTATAATCTAATAAAATATTACAAACTGTAGAAAAAAAGGAAAAAAGTACCAGTTTTAATTTTTTCGGTGGCTGTTCCTTTGCTGAATCACTTTCCCTTTGCACTGACAAATGTATGATGAATTTATCCATGTTTATTAATATGCACCACTACCAGCTAGCTTAGAGGTCTTCAAACTTGGCACTTTTAAGACTTGTGGACTTCAACTCCCAGAATTCCTCAGGCACCATGACTGGATGAGGAATTCTGGGAGTTGAAGTCAACAGGTCTTAAAGTTGCTAACTTTGTAAACCCAAGCTAGCTGGTCGGCCCTTCTTCCTCTCTCCCTTCTGAGCACTTTCCACAGTGTAGTAAGAATGCACCCCCACAATCCCTCCCCTGTACCCTTAAAGACACAGGAATCAAATGCAAAGCAAGAAAGGCTCACAAAATAAACACATAAACTCCGGGTTTCTTTTCTTTAAGCTGCCTCAGGCATGTCACATGTCACAATGTTGCAGTCCGAGATTGAAAGGCTCCGGCAATTGCGAAAAGCTTTAGCCTTAAATTAAGCCTGTTTACCTTCAATGAAAACTTTCTTAAAAGCCATAGACAGACTCAAGATAAGAGGGTAAAACTAATTACATTTGTTTAAAGGGATTACACCTACGGAAGTCAACACTTTGGACTCATTGCTAGCCTAAAATATAGACTAAAATATTCCAATAACCAAAGCACACAAACCGAGCCTCTGAATTACAAAACACTGTAAAAACTGTACAAAATCCTTATGGTAACCCAATCAGGTTGCCAGCTGATCCAGAACTAAACAAACCCACCTCCTTTCTGACATGCTTGTCTGCCGGCTTTTCATTTCATCAGCGCTGAGAGAAAATGAACTAGGAGACCTTTTCTTCCAGCAACAGCTGCTTCTTCTGTCCCTGTTTCAGCCCTGCCTGCTGAGCTTCTTTTATAGCCTCTCCTCTCCTCCCTCCCCTTTTTCTTCAATTCACCTCCAGCTCCCTGCAGCTTTTGGAAGCGCCAATCAGCTGGAGCCCTGCCAGCTCCTGGGGCTTCTGCCTAGCCCAGACAGTCCTGCAGTTGCCTCTCCCTCAGGCTTGGGTCGCTTCAGCTCATTCCCCTCCCCCGCTACACATCTCTGGGATGGTCGCATACCACCTGCCATGTGGCAAAGTACCACAGGTGGTACATGTACCACCGGTTGAAAAGCCCTGTTCTAACCAATGGGTCAGTCCCAACTAGGTCTGAAAAGGAGCAATTTTGCTAAATGAAATTTAGCAGGCTTGGAATTGAACGGGAAATTTTGCATTGTGCACACTTTGAGTCTCACTGCTGAAAAAGGTGAATTTTAAAGGACAACAATGGTCTTACTGAGACATCACCACGGTCATCAGTAATAAACAAACACAGCCAATTACAAAACAGATCTATGGAATGTTTTCACCTGTGTTTATTTAACATCTATATTCTGTATGATTCACTTATTTTTCAACACAAAGTAAGTCCTTGGAACACTGGCCTCTGTTCTGACAGAGTCAGACCTATCATCTTTTTGTTCTGTTCTAAGTACACCAGGAGTTTTAACAGCATATGAGGGCCAGGGGAGAGAATGCTTGCACCCATTTGCCAGAATACATACTACAGCAGCCATTCTCTTTATCTTTTGGACCAGCAGGGATAGGCAGTCACATGTCCGTATTAAAATACTGGGCCGCAACTACCTAGGTTTTTTTGTTTGTTTGTTTGTTTCTTTTTTTTTGCACAATGTCTATTAGGCAATGTGGAACCCAGAACAATTCTTGGAAGCAAAGATAACAGAGGATGATTGCTTGCTGCTGCAACACGACTGCTTCCTATTTTTGAAAAGTGGAAAGAATCTTAAGAGGATTCTGTTGGGAAAAATTGGTTGATAGCAATAGCACTTAGGCTTATATACCGCTTCACAATGCTTTACAGCACTCTAAGCGGTTTACAGATTCAACATACTGCATGCCCAATAATCTGGGTCTCATTTTACCGACCTTGGAAGGATGGAAGGCTGAGTCGACCACGAGCTGGTGAGAATCAAACTGCTGGCAGCTGGCAGAATTAGCCTCGCAATACTGCATTCTAACCACTGCACCACCATGGCTCATCTAATGTCAAGAAGGTCTATAGCAGGCGAACCTTTTAGAGACCGAGTGCCCAAGCTTCAACCCAAAACCCACTTATGTATTGCCGGGTGGGCATGGGTGCCGGGAGGGTGTGGCCCGCCAGGTGGGCGTGGCTACAGTGGTCATGGCAGACAGGTGGGCGTGGCCAGGGTGGGCATGGCCAGCTCGATGTTGCTCCTGGGGAGGGACACCTGTGGGGGCCGGGCAGGGTTGGGGGAGATCCAGGGGTTTCTGGCAGGTGGGGCAGTGGGCAGGTTCTGCGGGGTGAGGTGAGGCAGGGTGGGGGTGCCATGTCGCAGGGCAAGGTGAGGCAGGGGCCGGGACGGCTGCTGCCTGACACCATTGGCCCCTGCACACAAAGGCCAGCAAGCGCATGGGTGCTGGGATGCATCCGGGCACGTGGGACCTTGGCAAGTTAGTGGGCGGCTAGTTGAAGAGGACGGTTGCCCTCTCCGGGGCATGACACACGTGCCCATGGAGAGGGCTCTGAGTGCCGCCTCTGGCATGCGTGCCATAGGTTTGCCACCACTGGTCTATAGCTAATCTCTTAAAGGGAAAAAGACCCTCTCAAATTTTGACCACTCAGCTGAGAGATGCTTCCTTGAAGCCTCGAGCTCTGCCTCCTCTCACCTGGTGTGCGGTATAGCTGGACTGGTTGTGCAAGAGAGGTGGGGGGCAAATGGAGAGATTGTACTGCAGCGGCTGGCCCAGCAAGGAATAGCGCCCATCACCTGGGGGGAAAAAGAGACCAAGAAAAGTTAACTGATGGCCCCCCGACTCTCTTTTTGTATCATAAATAAGGATGGGGGAGGACACAGAGAGTATAATAATCAAATGTGGACAATCTTTTCTAAGTGAAATTTAGTGATCTCATGATATTCCAGCTGTTTAACTATGCATGCGACTGGGGACTGGCAGTGTCTGTTGGGCACATTGGTATGATCTTAATCAATCTTCTCTTCTTTATTAAGAGAAATTTTTCCTTGTCTATAAATCAATGGGCAAACAGTTGAAAACATACCTATTGACAGGTAAAATGCCTATGTTCTTAGTCAGTCAAAGATTCAGCTGGAAGCATTTAAACTGCATTCATTGGAAGCTTCAAGTATTATCAGAGAATATTGGGATTGTTCAGCATCACAGTATAAAACCACAGGGAACTGTTCTGTGGTTTTCTAAAGATTGGGCATTGTAATTTGCAGTGAAACTACCTTAAAAGGTGTAAAACTGTAAAAGGTGCTACTGCTACTGACAAATTGGTGAATAGGACACCAAACAAGAAGGGAAGACCAAAATCGCTCATATGGAATCGCCCTTTATTCTAATGCAAACACAACGGCTGATCTTCATTTTGATAAATTTATTGTTGATAAATTCTCTCTCCCACTACCTTTGTTACCTTGTGCTGGGCCCACAGGCCGGGGGAACTGTGTGAGCACCGGAAGGGGACTGAGACCTGTGCAGACACTGTTGAGGCTGGTAACGGGCGATGGTGTAGGGGACTGCGTGGGGGATGTGATAGGGCTATTCAGCTGGGTGCTGCTGGCCTAGAAATGGGGGGGAAAAAATCAAAAGGCTAGTCACAGGCTTGCATTAGCACAACTACTGACAATCCTTTCTCTCTCTCTCTCTCTCTATTCCACCGGGCCTCTTCCCCATCACCCTACCTGAGCACTGGTGTCTGGATTATAGATGTCACCAGGCTTCTGACTTCGCTGGTCTAAACTGTAGTACTTGCAGTGATTCCATTGCACCATGGATGAATTCTGAGGAGGTTGGGGGCCATTGGGCACATTGAGTTGCATGACCACAACACCAGGCCCTGCCGGAGATACCCCTAAGAAGAGAAGGGGGAAAAAATGATCGGATCATTATGGACATCGTGTCAAGCATCAACCTTCTCGGTCTCTTTTCCAGCCTCTTCTCCTTGGAGAGGATGTGGTCACAAGAGAAGCTTCATGGGAACTGATTTTTAACAGAGGCAATTCCTGGCTTATGGCACCAGGACGGCTTGAGCAAGTCAACTTTCGTACAGTTTGCCTGTCATATTTGCATATGCATAAAATGGCAGTTGCCTTTCTGGATGTATGCAAAGACTATCAAGCTTTTTTTTTTTTGGCAAGTGCTAATATGGTGGCCCATGTTTTATGTTCCTTGTACACATGTAAACTCATGTCAACTCATGTAAATTGGCTTAACTCAGAGGCTTCTTGTGCTAGCATTTCATCATTAATGTACATGGCCATTTAAGTTTCAGAGAACTACATAAGCAGTAAAATAAATTACTTGAAATAAATTATTTTTCAGAAATGTTATGAAATAAATGTTAAAAGCATGGGGGGGGGGGAGAAAAGCAACAAGTTCTAAAAGGTCTAAAAGTGAGGCATAGTGTATGATTAGGCACATTAAATGAAGAACACAATCACGGACAGAAATATTCTGATTTACAAGCCTTATTATTACTGCTACTATTACTTCCATTGTGCCCTTTCTCCTGGAGTCCAAAGTAGAATTAAAAGCTTTCATAAAATGATGTTTTAGAAAATCATTTCATTTAGAACAATGAGCAATAAACCAGACTGGTCAACTGCAGTAGACCAATCTTCCTTAACCTGGTGTGCCCCCCTCTGGTACATGCTGGGACTGCGACTCCCAACATTTTCAAAATACTAGTTAAATATGTCGATGCAGATTCTCAGTCATCCAGTAGAGTTGTCTGGAAGTTGAGTCATGGCAACTGGATTTCTTTTTTTTGTTTGTTGAAATGTTTCATTGCTTATCCAAGTAGCTTCTTCAGTCTGAGCAAGTTGGTTAGGGAGACCCCCATGTATGTCCTCCAGGATGGTTTCATTTCTAACCTAATCTTAATAGGCTGATAAAAGAAACATTTCAAACTGAAAAAGAAAAGCTGCTATGATTCAACTTCCAGAATACTAATTAAACTGGAAGAGTCGTAAAGCATCTGAACGGTGCTAGGCTGGGAAGGGTACACAGGTAATGTTATGAGGGGTAGGCAACCTTGGCTTTTTTTATGACTCGTGGACTTCAACTCCCAGAATTCCTGAGCCAGCATGTTTGGCTCAGGAATTCTGGGAGTTGAAGTCCACGAGTCATGAAAGAGCCATGGTTGCCTACACCTGGGTTAGACAGAAATGAGCTACGCCTGTTTTGGCTCTAGAGTTATCACCGGCAGCAGTAGCCAATGACACCACTTTAATCAACACTCATTTCAAAGATGAGAAAAGAGGAAGAGAGACAGGGACTCAGCACTGGATATAGAAAAGTTTCCAGATCAGTCATGACAAGCCTATGGGATGCACACTAAAGGACACATCATAACATTTTGAGTGACACGTCAGCATTCACCAACACTCGACAAGTATTCTCGAAAGTGTGTCCTATTCTTGTGCCATTTTCGGACTCTGTGGAGGCCTTGCCAGAATGGGGTGTGCTCTCACATGGCCTTTAGAACTGAGTGTGAGAGGATTATACTCAAGCTTCAAGAGACCCTGAAAAATGTGTGAGAATGGGGCTTGCTTTGAGGTGATTTTTAAAGACTGCAGAGGCTGCGTGAGAATGGAGTAGGCCAGGGATAGGCAACCTTGGCTCTTTTATGACTCATGGACTTCAACTCCCAGAATTCCTGAGCCAGCATAGCTGGCTCAGGAATTCTGGGAGTTGAAGTCTATGAGTCATAAAAGAGCCAAGGATGCCTACCCCTGGAGTAGGCTTTTGTCTCAAAGGTGCTTTTTTCCCCACCTCCCCCCAAAAGGCAATTGGATAGTTTTTTCCTTGAGGAAGAAAATAAATGTTTCACTTCTCATCCAAGTCCAACTCACCTTTTGAATAAAACATCTTTGAGGCAACTATGACCTGGATGACTGGGAATCTCCACAGACAATAGGCTTTGTGGGGCCTTTGGACCCTGTCAGAAATTGCCCCAAAGGACCGTGCTTTTGTACAGCCTCCGAAAATCGCCCGAAGACAGCTTTCAGAGGCTGCAGAAGAGCATTTGAAAACAAAGAACCACTACCTGAAGGTAAGCAGTAGATACTGGGGATCACACACAATTGGAGTGTATTTTGTAAAAATAAACGAGTGCGCAAAAATTTGTTTCTCTTTTGTTTGGGGTGGGGGGGGTCTGACATGCCAATTAGGCATTTTCTGAATATTTGACATTCTGAGCCCAAAAGCTTCCCATCACTGTTCCAGGTGCTTTTGATGCAGAGTTCCTGTCTCTCTCTGCAGTCCTGTTCAATGAAGCTGCTTCCCAGGGCCAGAAAAATTCTAAGTACAGTACATTAAACTAACTGGAAACTCACTTAAAAAGTAAAAATAATTGCCCAAGATGGGTGACGGGAGCAACTTTATCTCCCCCAAGATTCAAACCTCAGCTTCTTTTTCCAGCTTCTTTAACAAGAAACAGAGGAACCATAGCCATTCACATGTGCAGACAGGGTAAAGGATCTGAAATTGCATAACTTTCAAGGCTGATTCTCATATACAAGGAAAAAGCAGAGACAGGGAGGAGAACAACCGGGCTCTCACAAACAGCTCTCATTTTGTAGGCTTTGGGTAAGCTTTTGAAATTGATTATATCTTACTGATGGAATATAACATTCAGACTGGCCATTTGGGGCATATGGTGGATCTGCAGCTTTGGGGCCGTGAAACTGGCTCCAGTCAAGAGTGTGAAGACGCTCACTCTCTGTTTGCCTCAGAAATGGGGAAACTGCACTTGACCTAGAAACCTCCTCACTTAACTACTTAACTGCAATGACTTTGAACACACACACACACACACACACACACACACAGAGAGAGAGAGAGAGAGGAAACAGCTGGGGGAAAGCTACAGGGGATAAAACCAGATGGGCCCCATTCAGCAGAGAAATTACTGCTGCTCAACAGAAGCGGAAATGGTGATCTTCTCAGACCCGCCCCTTCAATGCCACAGTGAGAAAAATGATTGCTAAGTTAAAATCTTCCTCTGCTGTCAAACACAAGGAAGATCAAAAGGACAAAACGCTACACTTGTATTAATTTACAACCCCAGGAATGATTCCGAGATGCTGTTTCTGCTTGCTGCCAGAGACTAGACTTTACTCTTTATTTATTATTGAAAACCTGTAATTACAATTGACCTTATTCGTTAGATTTGGCAGAGGGCCATGATGACCGAGAACGTCTTCTGAAAAAGACCCCACAAAGGACACAATTAATAGAGGCCCATTGTGATGCCCTCTCGGCCACCCAGGATTGCATCAGCCACTACTCAGAAAGTAAGATGAGTCTATTAAGCAGAGACTTCCGGAGCAAGGAATTAATTTTCCTTCCATCCTTGGGGGTTTCGGATTGACCTCTTATTTGAAGGAGTGCCTGTTTCCCATAGTTTGTCCCTGGCCAGTATGAGCCAACAGAATGGGAGTGTTCTGGATGGGTTCCCTCAATTAAACAATTTCAGGGCCCAGGAAGCATGCCTGTGGTGACTGGAATGAGAGAGTCCTCTAGAAATTTGTATGGCTCCTTCCCTGATGGTGCTCTAGAGAGACTTAAAGACCTGGTGTCCTCCCAAGCTTGGGTAGGCTGGGATGAGCCCCTGGTTAGATGTGCTATACATAATCTGCATATGTTTTGGTGTTGGTTGTCTGGACTTTCCATTTTCATTCCCTTCACCGTATTTTCATTTACCTTACTGTATCTTATTTCTTTACATTGTGAGCAGCCGACATTTGGCTTGGGGTTGGGCTCCATGGAAATAAACCAAATATTGGGGAATCCGGACGCTTGTTTGAAAGCTTATCTGGAGTTCCAAATTTGGTGTTAAAAAGCTTCCTAATCCTAGCTATACTTCAAGACATCTTGATAAAATTATGTTTGTCTCCAAGGAGAGCATGCGCCAAATTGAGCATCTAGGACTAGGTTACTAGATTCAAGATCTCTCCAGGCACAATATGGGTTCCTACAAGTCATTCCAGAAAATTATGGGACAGAATCTAGGAACAGGCTTTATAGCACCTTTAGGAGATGGTATTGTACATGTCATCTACATTTGCAAATTCTTGGCAGTCCAAAACAACCTAAACCCAAAGGGGATAAGGGTTAGGCAGGAAAAAAAATATCGATGAGCAAAAGATATGAGCAGGGATAATCAGGCAGTGACAATGGTGATGTTTCTCCAGTTTGCAGATACTGGACTGGCCTCTAAGGGAAGCAAAGGTATGATACTCTAAGGCAGTGGTGGCAAACCTATGGCACAGGTGCCAGAGGCAGCACGCGTGCCGTCGCCTCAGTCCTAGGCCTTCAGCTGGGTTTTATAAAACTTTTTCGCTTTAGGCCCCCGCCGCCGTGTGCAAAAAAAAAAAAAAAGGTTCAATCAGTCAATTTCAACTTCTCGCAGGGAAAAAAAAGGTCTTGCAAAGTTGGAACTGATTGATTGATTGAACTTTTTAGTCCCACCCAGTCTGCCATTACCACCGCAGCCACACCCACCCAATGGGCCACTCCCACCCAATGGGCCACACCCACCCAATGGGCCATACCCAGCCAATGGGCCACACCCACCCGGCACTCAATGATGCATAAGTGGGTTTTGGGTTGCAGTTTGAGCACTCAGTCTCTAAAAGGTTCGCCATCACTGCTCTAAGGGAAGCAAAGGTATGATGTTACTGGATGATAATAATGTACTGAATAAGGATTGCACCTGCACGGGATGGGTCTTCTCCAGAATCAGCCCCTGGACAGACAAATTCTAGTGACATCTAGGGTTATGTTTCACAGCTAAGGTTAAATGTCACTGTGCATATTCCTTCTAAAGACTCCAGATCTGGCTATACATTTAGTTACAGCCTGTTTGGATTGGGGACATCTTTAGTTCCTTCTTAGCTTATAATGTACTACAGGTGTTTTTCAAAAGGATTCAGAAACTTTAGCTAATCCAGAACACCACAGATCAACAAGAGCTAAAATTGTAAGGGGAATGATTGGGCATTTATACTCAACAAATGGGTATAAGCTATTTCTCTGCACAGCCTCATTGGCTACTAATCAGTTTCCATGAAGCATTCCTTAGGACTTAATATGACTTGATAATTTTGGGCAAAGTTGTTGGGAAAGACTTTAAGATCTGAAGGAACACATTAATTTCCATCTCATTTGACGTGAATGCAAGAGAAGGCCTCCTTTGTCACTGTTTCCAAACTCTGGAATTCTTTGCCAAGGAAGGTCAAGGTAGCTCCTTCCATTAATAATAGTAATAATAATAATAATAATAATAATGATGATGATGATGATGATGATGATGATGATGATGATGTTGGAAGGGACCTTGGAGGTCATATAGTCCAACCCCCTGCTCATTTCTGACACTATACCATTTCGGACAAATGGCTGTCCAGTCTCTTCTTAAAGACTTCCAGTGTTGAAGCATTCACCGCTTCTGGAGGCAGGTTGTTCCACTGGTTAATTGTTCTAACTGTCAGGAAGTTTCTCCTTAGTTCTAGGATAGCTTGACTCCCTCTTCTTTGTGGCAGCCCCTGAGATATTGGAACACTGCTATCATGTCCCCCCTCGTCCTTCTCTTCATTAAACTAATTCGAACAGCCGTTCCTTATATGCTTTAGCTTCCAGTCCCCTAATCATCTTTGTTGCTCTTCTCTTGTTGGGCCATAGGTGACCTCTATCAACCTAGCTCCAATAGGTTTTACAGGAGGCAGGTATATTGTATGCAGATCAATCACTGTCTTCCAGGTTTGCTGTTTCCATTGGTAAAGCATCCGGTCTTACCTGAATACTGTTGTTGCATCTGGGGTGGGCTGCAAGGAGAAGGAGACTGGGGCATTTGGTACTGCTCTGTACCTGGAGGCTGCAAGAAGCCAACAGAAGGGCTAGAAAGAGAGAGAGAGAAAAGAGATCAACTAGAGCAGGTGACCATCGTGATGGAGATAACCAGTCTATTTGGTTGGTTTCAATTAAGGGGATGATTATTCAGTGCTTCAGAAAATAGGAATAGTATTTCCTCTTTCTCTGGCTGCTAGTATTGGGTTTATGACAGAGGGATCTATCAATATAAAAGGGGATTAGTTAAATCAGTTAGCCAAGTGAAAAGAGGTAGCCAACCAATCTGCTGAGTACAAAGGCCGAGGCTAAAATTTGATCTTCAGATGATTCAACCAAGTAAATCTTGACTGGGATTTATGCTAATTCTGAGCAACTTGTGCATTTTCAGGACACAAATACTAGCAATCTTTTAAGATTATGGATGCTTCTAAAAAAATTGAGGAGGGCTGGAGCAGGATGCTTTTGCTCTGTACTCAAGAGGAGCCAAAAGAGAAAATTGGTAATCTCTATTGCTTAAAACTAGAATTTGCAGAAATGAAAAATTGTGTACAACTATGGTAAATATGCCAAAATAAATAATATTGCTTCACAGAAGCTTCCAAGCTTGATAGATTTGTGAGAACTGTAAACAATCCTCTCCTGACCTCTTTTTAAATGGCCTTTCAGTTATAATTCATCATTGGGTTAAACTGGATACAGTACATTACTTTGGAAATTTCTTTTTAAACAGAAATATAGCCTACGAAAACTTTAGTATATGCCCACAAATTTACTCTGACTTTGCACTTTACACTGTAATTCTGGAAGATTTTTCTCTCTCTGCTTTTCTTTCTCTGTCTCCCTCTCCTTCCCTCCTCCTCCCCTTCCTCCTCCCATTCCCCCCCCCCCTTTGCTGGACTAGAATGTGGGAGACTATGAGTTCAAATCCTTCCTAAAGCACGGAAGTGGCCTAGTCACTCTCTCTCAACCCAAATCATTTTACGGGGGGTTATTATGAGAGAAGTAGTAGGCTGGATTGTTATGTACGCAACCCCCAGTTACACAAAATAAAGGCAAGGTATAAATCTGGTAACTAAATAAATAAACCAGTTCCTTTTTTATAAAGATCATGAACCTGAATTCTGGTAATAAAATTCTCAAACTAATTCGCATTGCCTAAAACGAATAAAGCCCCCTCCATTAATCTAATGCACACCAAGGTTTGTTTGTTTGTTTTTTTTAACAAATAAAAAAAGCTGATCTAATCAAGGGGATTCTTGGAAAAAAAAATAACGATCCTGAATGGACATCTTCACAAAACATAAGAGGGTTAAGTAGAAATTTGGCTCCTGCTCATACCTGGTGCCATTCTGCTGGGTTGGGGGGATAACACTGTAATAGACCGACATCCCTCCGGCCTGGAGCCCTCCTTGCACAGACTGGTTTGCTGGTACCAGCACAGGCTGCTGAAACGGTTGCTGGACTACGGCTTGAGAGTCATTCGCCACCGGCACCTGCTTGGGATATTAAAAGGCAGAAAGGAGAGAATGAAGGAGAATGTACGGGTCCCAGGATAATATTGCGTGATCCAATCTGGGTCAATCACCGGGACCCGAGGTTTTGTCCTCCAAGCTTTCGGACACATGCTGGAGTCTCATCTTCAGCTCCCATCCCATTATTCAGAATATGGGCTCCAGCACGAGTCCAGATAAAGCTCAGAAGGCAAAACCTTGCCCGGTGGCCGACCCAGATTGGATCCTGCAGAAAGGAGAGAGAGTACATGATCTTGGAGGAAATGACAAAAGGTCTTGAAAGGAGACCTGAGTATAGACCAAGAGCAGGGGAAAATATCAGGCTCCTCTCTCCTTGGGCTAGAACAGGGGTCCCCAACCCCGGGTCCGTGGACCGGTACTGAGTCGCGGCATGCCAGCAATTGGTCCGCACAAACAAGCACAGCCCCATCTGTGGGATGCAGGCAGCACACAAAACCACGCACTCTCCGGTCCGCGGAAAAACCTCTCTCCACGGAACCGGTCCCTGGTGCCCAAAAGGTTGGGGACCTCTGGGCTAGAAGACCTCCAAGGTCCCTCCAACTATATTATTCTTATTCCTCTCCAATATCAGACTCTACATAACCTCTACAGTTTTCCCTTTCAGCCTCTACAGCTCTGGAAAGATTTGTGATTTGGCAGAAATTATTCTGTGGTTTTTTTTGTTTGTTTGTTTTTTAAAAGAGACCTTATACCACAGGGGCAAAAACACACTATATACTCAACATGACACTCCAAACTCATCTGCCATCCCACTCTTCCACATTCTCTTTTTCAGGGTCTTGTGAGCTCTTATTTTTTCAAGTCTTATCCGGAAACAAACTCCAATTTATGAAAACTCAGCCTATCAATGCCTTATTTGCTGCCTTAAAAAATACAACTCTTCTCCAATAACTACTGTACTTCTCAGGAATCCTCGACTATAGAAATGGCAGTGAGCAAGTGAAATGAACCAGGTGAAAAAATTATGTTGGGTAGCATGGGGTTCTAAGCTGAAAACTCAGGTTTGGGGAGGCATGCATCAAAACCGAGGGCTTGGTTTGTGTTGCCCTCTGTTGCCCTTGACTGCAGTTCGCTTGAATATTTCTGACCCATGCAAAATTCACTTTACAGATAGACCAGGGCTCTCAAACAACCGTCCACTCAAACAAAAATGCTGAATCATTTGCAAACTGTGTATGCATATTTCATGTAGTTGGAGGTTGGGAAGCAGAAGCTCTTGCCCAGAATACAGATCTCTGATTATACATTTCGTAGACTATGCAACGAAGGTGGTTTAAGTTTTTTTAAATTTATACAATGTTATTATCCACTGACTGGAGAACCCTTCTAGAAGTTGGCTTCCAAAAGGAAAAAAGAAATTGTGGGAAAAAAACAACCAGCTTATTTTTATGAGCCCTTCTAAGTGAAAATATGGAATTAGCCACTGGGATAGTCTCAGTGTAAGGTTGTCTCTATTTACATTTGCCAGCAGCAGTGTTTTTTGTTTTATTATTTCAGACCTGTTCTCTTCCACTCCCTGGTTCCTGTTCTGAAGTTACGATGGATCCCAAAAAGGATTTGAAGTTCTGTCCCCCTGCCCCCAGTCACATGACTGCATTCTGGGCACTCAACAACTGGATCCACATTAATGACCACTTGCAGCACCCTGCAGTCATGTGACTTCAATTTACAACATTTTTCCCAGAAACCGGTGCTTGCTTCCGGTTTCCAGCAAAATCAACCCACAGAGAACAATGAGTTCACTTTAATGACCATGGTGTTTGCTTAAAGGCTGCCACAAACAAAGGTCATAAAATTGGGTGAGGTCACATGGTAATCTGTTTTACAACTATTGCGACTTACGACTGAAATCACAGGCTTAATTATGACCGTAATTCGAGGATTACCTGCATTGCATGAAATAACCTACCCGAACGGGTTAGCTAAGTTTTGGATTCCTCAAAAAAAATCATACCAACTGTATTAAGAGTTTTGCAGCTTTCCAGCACAAAAATAAGCCCCAAAATAAGCACACATTCAAAATGAGCAGGAGGCATAGTTTAGAAAAACTTTTATCTATAAAATATATATAAACATGATACATAACAGTTTCATTCAGCTCTGGGGAACATCAACAACTCTTAACTTGGAGATCAGAAAAAACAACACAGAGAAGACTAAGAGACGCCCAGACCTAGACTGGATCACATGCCTCACACAGCCAATACTGTGTCTTAATCAAAAACAGTTCTCATTGGCTGGTTTGTTGCTATGGCTATTCCAGTTCATAAAATTTCTTACACAGTGACAAACTGAAGGTTTCCAAGCCATATAGAGACTTATGTCGCATCCGCTTCTTACATACCAGATCCCAGTGCTATAACAGCAGAATTGTGACTTCCCTTCCCCCACTCACCAGCTATGGCACCACTTACTTGATATGAAGGCAATGGAGTGTACTGGACCATCAGGCCTTGCATCTGACTGCCCATGTTTCCTCGTTGGCTATTCAGGAGGCTCTGGTTTTGGGGCTGCTGCACTCCCATCATGCCTTGCATCTGGCTACCCATGCTGCTGCGTTGGCTGCTGAGGAGACTCTGACCCTGCGGTTGCTGCACTCCCATTATGCCTTGGTATGTCTGCTGCTGATTGGACAGGATTGGCTGTAATCCTGCATTGTAATAAGAGAGGAAAGATTATGACACCACAGCCGGGACCCAGAGGAGGGGTATCTCTGTTCTGTGTTCAAGCCAGCCAGTCAGCAATGGAGCACATTTGCCCTTTCAGATGGGGTGGGGGAACCCTTGGAGTTTGCTCCTGAAGATTTTTTTTCTCTCTCCAAATGGAAGGAGAGCTATCCTGAACATAATTTTATCTGCCTTAGCCACCTCCATAGCAAGGTATATCTTCTTCTTTTTCTTCTTCAGCGCCCTTCTTAAGAATATGTAGGAAAATTGACTTAATGTGTGGATGGTGTGGCCAATTCTCTGACCAGTGAACTGCACTATTGTAATATGATTTTCAGAACTGATCAAATATTTAGGAATTTAAGCAGGTGGAAAGCCAAAGAAGCTCAGCTAATACGAGAGTCAAACTGCACATTGGCTGAACGCAACAGCTGCTAACATTGCAACTGTTGTGGGCTTGTCTCCCCTCTTCTCTAAAACATCTAGGAGAAAAATAACCTTTGCACTGTGTGGGGTCATGACATTCTACCATTTCTCCACATCTTTCTACAGCTGACATGGAAGGGGAAAAAAATCATGAGTTACTAACTCAGGAATGGGTAGCGTAGCTCATATGTGCTATTCCCCCATCCCTCACATCTTATGATGTGTCATATTGCTAAAATACAGCAATAAACTAGTTCAATTTTTCATAGCATTTTTTTTCCAACTCACCCTTCTCACTGCTACTTAGCTCATCCCCACCCCCATCCCAAAAAGCCTGAAACGAAATCAGCCTGACTCCTTCTGCTGGCATCACCATTTTTTTGCAGCCGCCCCCTGCAACCCCTTGCAAAGTTTAAACAGCTGACAGTAGCCTTTAACTGTTCAAATGTTGCCTACGTCTTGCAGAGGACTTTCTCAACATGTAGCTGCCATGTTAAGCAGGTATTATGGAAACTTAAGCTGGTATTTTTTTTCTAGTCCAGCGTGTATCCAGTTTGGCTAGGTTCATCCCGCTGAAGACACTGTATCTGTGCCTTCTTTGCAGCAAGAGATTCAAAATTCTGCAACAGCAGCAGCAGCTTGCCCTTATAGCCTTTAAAGCCAGCTTCCTATAGATTTCAACTCATACGCCTAAACAGATCCCCCTTGCTTTGTCAACTCTAGTTGACTAAATTATTGATTTTTCAATAAGCACAGCCCTTCAGGCCTGAGTTTTTCAAATGGATGGAAATTCCATAGAAGGCAAGAGTTTAAGGCATATGCAGCCTGCTGATGCCTTACAGCTGAGGTAAACTTGCCCTCACAAAGATCTTCAATGCCTCTAGGATTCAAGCCCTATAAATAGGATGACTTCTTTGGGTTCCAAGAAAGGGCAAGATGGCTTAGCTCTCCCTGGCAATACTGAGCAAGGATCGGCTGCCACACGCGCGCACGCGCACACACACACACAGCCTTCTCTGCATGAATGCTGCTCATCTGGAGACTTACCAGGCTGCTGGGACTGTTGAGGCAGCTGTTGGCTACGCTGGGGGCTGTAAGCCACTGGATGCGAGAGCGGCCGGTACTGCTGGCTGGAGTTTGGATACTGCCCAGGAGGGTAGTAAGAAACCTGAATCTGTCAGAAGGATAAAGGATCTTGTCAGAGAAGAAAAACAAAGGACAAGAGGCTTCCCAGCAAGTCAAAGACAGGGGCTTTAGCAGTTAGCATCAAGAGGTCTTCACTGTTAGCTTTGTTAGTAAGTGTGGTTGTGCGTTACGCATAATGATGGCACATTACTAAGAGTGGGTCCAGAGGATAGGACAGAAAACAAGAAAGCAAACAAGCTTCAGTGAGGGAAAGACAGTCTCTCATTGCAATCTCCTGAAAGAAAACTCAAGTCTTACCCCTGACAACAGAAACAAAATGTATCCACACATACGTATAGATAGTCCTCGACCTACGACCTTTCATTTGAGCCTGGCAATTACGGTTGTAAGTCATGGCAGCCGTAAAGTGGGTCATCACGTAACTGGACCCAATTTTATGATTATCTTTTTTTTTTTGCTGCAGCAGCCATAAAGTCAACGGTAGCGGTCATAAAGCGAAGTTTGTGATGAGGGTGTTTCCCCCCCCCCCCAGAAACCAGAGGTAAATGTGTTTCCAGACAAAACCTTTTCGCCGCGCCCTCAAGACATGGCTTTTTCAACAAGCGGGTCTGGCCTAGGAAGAATTTTAAAATAGGGACAATTTTAATTTAAATCTTAATTAATTATACAGCGAAAAAAAATATTTGGTTTTTAATAGGTTTTTATGGGGGGACGATGTTTTATGTGTTTTAATATGCTGTAAGCCGCCCTGAGTCCTATAGGGAGAAGGGCGGCATATAAATCCATGTAAATAAAATAAATAAATAAATAAAATAATCATAAACTGCAGTCGTGTGACCGCAGGGTGCTGCAAAATGGCTGTTAAATGCAGGTCAGTGCTGAGCACCCAAAATGCAGTCACAAGATTGCACGGGGGGGGAGACGTCATTAACTTTGGAACAGGTCGTAAGTAGCTTTAGGGGAGGGTCTGTTGGGGGGGAGCAGTTGTAAGTTGAGGACTAGCTGTATTCAAAACACTCATTATTAGGTAAATGTCAGTGGAGATTCTCAATCATCCATGGTTGTCCCAAAGGTGCTTTTTCAAGAGGCAACGGGACTTTCTTGTTTTTTTCAGATCTGTAGAAGAAGCTGAAGAAGCTTCTTGGATGAGAAACGAAATGTCTTTCAAGAAAAACAAGAAAGTCCAGTTGGGGCTAATAATGGGACTCATTATTATTATTTTTAAAGTAATTTTTATTAGAGACTTTTTTTTTTGCAAAGTGAAAACAGTAAGATTACATCATTGCTCCCTTCTTTTCATCTTCTACATTTTCTAATCATCAAACCCAAAGATTACAAGTTCATTGTTTTCAGAGGGGAAAAAAAATCCATAAAGGATTTGTAGTCATTGACAAATGTGGTTATGGTCTTTTCTCTGATTAAAAAGTCATTTTGGCCCTCTCTGCAAATTAGGTCATCATCAATCATTCCTCCCTTCAGGCATTTCGGGATTTTTCCATCTTTTTTTGTATATAATCATCTTACTGCAGTTTCTATGTAACTATAATTATTACTTCTTCATGCTAAGCACCATTATTGCAAGATCGCACGATGCTATTGGTACCCCAGGTATATTTTATATTTATCTTTCAATAAAATATTAAAATGGCCCTCAAATAGGACCAGATTGTGTTTATTCTTGCTTGCGCTCTCACAGCTTTATGTAAGACCGCAGAATCTTGCAAGGTTTTAGTGAACTCATAAGATCGCATTTGATACTTCATGTTTTTAATTTCATTTTTAAAAATTATTTTTAAGTTTGGGCTAACCAGAAATGGCAGATGAATGTGAGGAGAAATGTTCAGTTAAATGCAGTGCCTTGCTGCTTTATTTATTGTCCACAAGTCAGTTACTATGTGTATACTACTCTATTAGTGTCTATTGTGCTTTTCTCCTCATTTTGGGGTGTTATTGCTGCTTAAGTGTCCCAAAATGAGTAACCTAAAGTGCCAAAGAAAGGTGCTGGTGATAACATTTCAAATAAAGAAAGAAAAAGAATTTTTTTTTTCAAATGAAGAAAAGATTGAGATTCCCATGAGTTTTGATAGGAATTAAAGAATATATGATATTATACATTCTACTGGCTCACATGAGACAAGTTTTACAGCTAATTAGAAAAAGTGCTAAGAAAGTACTAGGATAATGAAGGTGTTTTAGTTCTTAAGTGCTCGACCTCTACAATCTATTTTTTTTTCCTAGCAGCCCTGCTATTTGCATTGCAACGTTTTGCATACTAGGGTTTCTAAGGATCACAACTATTGTGACAAGGATTTTATAACGCTTAATGAATAGTTCATCACCAAACAAGGACGTGTAATGATACTTTAATGTATCTATGGCTAAGAAGTGCTTACGCTAAAATTACAGTTAAAAACTGTTTATGACAAACTTACATTTAGGATGGGCTAACTAAAGACACGAACTTGACATTGGCTGAGAATGTATTTGCTTGTTTGTTTTTGTGCCTTTGAGTCAGTGTTGGCATCTGGCAACTGCAGTTTTCTAGTCAAGGCTTTTAGAAATGGTTTGCTCTTGCCTCCTTCCTAGGGCTGAGAAAGAGTGACTAACCCAAGGTCACCCAGCCGGCTTTGTGACTAAGATGGAACTAGAATTCAGTCTCCTGGTTTTTAGCCTGGTATTTTAACAAAAAATGGTGGACAGATTATATGATGCAGTGAGAAGTAGGGATCTAAAAATTCATGTAGTAAAGAACAAAGAGAATTGAATTTGTAAGAGAAAGTAGGACAAACAATTTCAAGTTATACATTAATAGCAAAAAAAAAACAAAAACCTAGAGCAAACAAATGAAATGTTGTCCTTCAGAGGTATGTTTACTGAAGATGAAAAAATGGATAACAGAAATGCAATTGCTGACAGAAAAGGTAGTAGATAGCATGTGATCTGTTGCAATGAGTGAATATTTATTTTAAAAAAATCAAAATGGCTCTTATATATAAGAGTGTCTTTGTGTCGTCGTTGCACGCAAGTGAGAGGTAGGAAACATATAAGTTGAATGTAATGAGAATGGGCTACTAAAGAAATGTATGGTAAAACAAGAAGACCTAAGGGTCAAGAATGGATGGATTAATTTAATGTAGACTGAATATAATTAGTAACCGATATGAAAGACTGGTGATGTGAGTAGTCATGTAGAAAAAACTAATGAAGATCAAATTACAAATCTAAGATGTAAGAGTGAATGGGCTGAGGGGAAGGAAAGGTCCAAGAAAAGCACAGTTGGATGGAGTTAATAAGGGCCTCAAAAAGGAACTGGTTAAAAAGTACAAAATATAACGTATAAAGCCATGTATAGTTGTGGCGAGGAGCAAGGATTGTCTACGAGTCTAGAAACGTATGGAGAGATACAGTGAATGGTTTGCGGAATTTTCATCAACATAGATGTAACTGTGTTTCCTTCTCTTTTTTTTAAACACTTATCTTAATTCCTTTTAAGACTCCTTCAAAGGGATTCCTTCCCTTCCCCCTTCCCTTCATTCCTTTTGCTTACTATTTTTACTGTTTTTGTACTTTGAATAATACTGCTATCCTAATAGGGAACAGTATGATGGTTTAATATGTACGTCTTTTCAAAACTTTCAAATTTTTCTACCCTCAAGGTTTATCGTGAATTGAGAGCATACTGTTCTAATCTGTCTTGTGACGATGTTACATGAATTCCCTTGGATCAATTTGCTTGGAGAAAAAATAGTTCTGTTATGTTCCTCTCCCATTATGTTAAGCATTTTGTGTTAATAGCTTTTTAACTTTTATACAGGTAACCCTAGTGCACATTGTCCCTTGAACATGATTTCCCCCCCAAACACATAGTGGTTTCTCCCAATTTTTCGTTCAAGGTCAATAGGTGGAAGCTACGACTGCCCCTCTGTGCTATAATGGAATGTATACTGGTAGGCTACATACCATTCTGCTCTATCATAAGAAAACCATAGAAGACAGTCTGATTGAAGCGCTACCCCTACACCCAGTGCTGCTACTTACTTGCTGGGGAGGCTGCATGTAGCTCTGGGGTTGGAGGATCTGCTGGGCTGGCGCCGTGTGCCCTGAGGCAGAGTAGTTAGAGGCAGTGATTGGCTGTCCTGGGGAAGCCATGATGAATCCTGTCTGCTGAGGATGCTGGGACATGATTGGCTGCTGGAACATGGCAGAGGATGGATCGGGTGCTTCAGTGGAACCTTGGCGGCTGAGGCTGATCTGTCCAAAAGGGTTGCTGAGCTCATCAGCCTGTGGCCAAACAAAGGAGAAAGAAAAATTAAGTAGAAAAACTGGGCCCAGGATGGTCTCCATCAGCATGCAGAGGGCAAGCACCAACTGCCAGCACAGTGAAAACAACATCAAGGCACCAGCAAAGCACACCAGTTAGCAAGAATATCAGCCCTTTTTCCAAAGGCTGAAGGAGAACAGCACCTGCACAAGTTGGTGGAAAGTGGAGAAAGGGACAGAGAGAATCCAACAGTGCCACTTTAGCACCTTGATTCATCACCCCACATGGCAATCCTATACTAACCTTTATGCCTGATATACTTAAGAACTATTATTCAGCTCCACAAATAAAAGAGAAAAAAAAAATAGAATGAAAAATAACGAAGTACAAATCAGTATTTCTACACCATTAAATTAAAACCATCAAAGTGCTCAGGGAGCAAATGATGCCTCCATTTTTGCCAATTTACAATCTAAATGCTATATTGGAATTTGCACTGCAACTGTGGGAATAAGGTGGGAAAAGGAGAGTCCAACCCAGAAACGATCAAAAAAGACTAACTGACTACTTGGGCATTCCTAAAATATGCAATACATTTTAAGCATTTGCTAAAAAAAAAAATACCACCCAAATAACACATTTTTTAAAGATGACTTTTATAGATGGCAGGCCACCACAGCAAACCATGCAAAATGGGTAGACCTTGATCTGGAGGAGAGAGTTAAGGAATTATTGCCTATTTTCAAATAACAGTAAAGTGGGAAAAGGGAACAGAGACAAAGCAGGAGGAGCTGACAACTGAACATCAGTGATTCCTTCAAATTATTATGCTGATTTGATGGAAGAAACTACTTCCAGTGATAATTTTCATCATATATATAGCTAACACTTTGTCCTTGTCAGATCATGGCATATAGGCAGGAATCACACCAGCTCCTACACAACACACTTGTTTATTAGGGTGGGTAAGACAACCTAATAGCCTCCATAACTCATACAGTCCTTTGAAATTCTCTGTGCTGGTGGGAATGGTTGGGAATTAGCTTAAAGTGTTGTGAGAGCAATAGGTTATTTGGTCTTCAAATGGGGATTAAGATTTATGAAACTCAACTGAGGTACAGCATGCATCAGTGTCGTCACAGTATTCCCTTTCTGATAAGTCATGTTTTACAAAGCATGGAAACAGAATAAAATATAGCAAGTCTAAGAAATTAAAGGCATGAAATAAGAAATTTTTTTAAAAAACAAAACTATTTCTCAAGATTTTATCTTCTCCATCTAATTATGACTTTCTCAACCCTTTCATCTTCTGTCATACAAATATTCTGCACTTCCTTGTGCGAACAAATCATGTACTGTACTTTTTTCCTACTGTTTACTCATTTCCAAATTCAGTCCACATTCCTTCTTGACCTATCTTTTTATTTCAGCACACATACATCTATAAAGTGACCACTCCTACAGTATCCACTTGGCTTCCCTTGACATAACTACTCTCACCTCCCAATGACCCTGACCAGATGTAACTTCCCCGTCACAAGACCCTCACTCACCTCCCCCCCCCCACCTGAAGCCTTTATAAACAGAAGAACACTGACACTGACATCCCCTAAACTCCACTGAAGATGTTACCTAGCCTGGTAATGAAATGTTTGGAAACCAACCCACAAGCTCGGAGAACCAACCTTCATCTTCATAACTACTCTCATTTCCACATAACAAAATGGGGCACATGCAGGCTGTTAAAGCATGGCCATTTTTATTTATTTCAACAAACATTCACTCTTTACAATCCAGTACCTTCTACTAGACTAGGGGTAGGCAACCTTGGCTCTTTTATGACTCGTGGACTTCAACTCCCAGAATTCCTGAGCCAGCATGGGAGTTGAAGTCCATGAGTCATAAAAGAGCCAAGGTTGCCTACCCCTGTACTAGACTTTCATATGGTAACATTTCTCACTTTTTCCATTTTTAAGAGACCTGGTGGTGCAGTGGTTAGAATGCTGTACTGCAGGCTACTTCTGCTGACTCCCGGCTGCCAGCAGTTTGGCAGTTTGAGTCTCACCCGGCCAAGGTTGATTCAGCCTTCCATCTTTCCGAGGTCGGTAAAATGAGGACCCAGATTGTTGGGGCATGACTATGCTAGGGTTGCCAAGTGTCCACTATTTGAGTGGACAGTCCACTTTTTTCACATTATGTTCACTTTTTTCACAAAATAGTGGACATTTTTTTATTCTAAAGCTTTATGATGAAATGGTACGTAATCTAAAGCTGTACAGTCTACTTTTTTTACTACTTAACCCCCCCCCACCGCTTGTCCGCTATTTTTTGGAAGCAGACCTGGCAACCCTAGACTATGCTGACTCTGTAAACTGCTTAGAGAGGGCTGTAAAGCACTGTGAAGTGGTATATAAGTCTAAGTGTTATTGCTATTTTAGCAAGGCACACAAATTCATCTATTTGCCTTTGTGTTCTATTTACATACAACTTGCATTATTCACAAGCTAGGTTCAAGATGGCATAATAAACTTAGGAGGTACATGGAGTGTACTGAAACAGATATATGTTGCCTGTGTGTTTAAGTTATCTGGTACAGGTAGTCCTTGATTTACAACCATAATCGAGCCCAAAATTTATGTTGCTAAGTGAAACGTATGTTAAGTGAGTTTTGCCCCATTTTATGACCTTTCTTGCCAGAGGTGCAAACCGAATCATTGCAGTTGTTAAGTTAATAACATGGTTGTTAAGTGAATCTGGCTTCCCCCATTGACTTTAACTATCAGAAGGTCGCAAAAGGTCATCACATGACCCTGGGACACTGCAACCGTCATAAATACAAGTCAGTTGCCAAGCTTCCAAATTTTGATCACATGACCATGGGGATGTATCAATGGTCGTAAGTGTGAAAAACAGTCATAAGTCACTGTTTCAATGCGGTTGCAACTTTTGAGTTGTCACTAAATAAACTGCTGTAAGTCGAGGACTATTGTATAGTGTTCCTGAACATGCAGCCCCTTGTTCCTCTATGCAGTCTGGTCGTTACCAATCCTGATCTAGATATCGTCTGCCTGAGTAAGCTTTTGGAAACAGCACAATCATCTTGGTATGTTCTTTTTAAGTAATCTCTGTGATTGTAAATTAGCACTAGGTAAGCAAAGTCAGGCAAGTGGAGTTACTATTAGTAAGGGCACTTCTGTCTTTCCTGCTGAAAATTGCGGTGAGGAAGAGTAGAGCCACCAATTTCCAGTGGCAAATAGTTGCATGTTTCCCTCTAGTTTCCCAACAAGTTTCTCTGTAAATTGCTTACTAATCTAAAAGTCCTACTGAACTACTATTGCCTTTCAGTAATATTATCACAGTATGTGATAGAAATGCAACTTTGGCCTCTGTCCTGTTTGTATCTCTCCAACTGATGAACAATTATTGTCTTTACAATTCTCTTATTTCTCAAGTCTTAAGATCGGCTATAGCCAGGGAAAAAGCATCAGAAAAAAAGCTTCTTCTGAAATGAGGGAAGTGAAGCAAGATTATTCAGCCATCACTCCTTTTAGCAGTATGAAGCGTCTGTCGTACACAATCTGCCTCAGAAATGGAGCACGTGAAAAACTGTTGCCCATTGAATAAGCAAAGCAAGAGAAAAAGCAAAGGTCACCCATTTTGCACAATCTCCTCAGGAAGACAGGAGAAATGAGCGCCACCTGGTGGCTGAAATGACCAGGTTTTTGCAAAATACAGTACAATGAAGCTATCTTGGATACACATGTAATTGCTCCACCATTAGCAAGTCTGTCACTAAGGAGTTTGGCATCCAGGGCTTTTTTTCCTCATAGAACGCCCAGAACGGAGTTCCGGCACCTTTTTTGGATGGAACCTTGTAGGGTAGGCAAGGCGGGTTGTATGACATGTGTGAGTTCCGGCACCTTTTTTTTTTTTTTTTTTTTAGAAAAAAAGCACTGTTGGCATCTAATATGAGGAGCTGCTAAAAAGGAACTTAGAATTGAGCAGCATCCTGTAAAGAGCCTACCCCAAGCTTCAGTTCAAATGATTCCCCTGTTTATTTTCAGGTTCTTTTCTATATTCCTTTCAGTGCAAGATCTTGTTGTTGTTGTTTTCAACAAACTGACTTTTGAACTTATGCCATCACATCACATCACATCACACTTGAGAGGTGGAATTCCGAATATACTCTGGGTGACAAATAAAGGTATTTATTGCAGACAGACTTGAGAAACCATTTCCAGCTTTTACAGGGCAATCCTGCAAAGGTTAACTCATAAAACTCAAGTTAAAGCTAACACACTTTAGTAGAAGAGGAGGCTGTTCAACAGTGAGCTGAGAATCCTTGTCTTAGATGGAAAAACAAACAAAATCTAAACATGTTATCTTTCCGGTCTCACTCATCACCTATTCCTGTATTTTTTACAACAGAAAGTGGCACATAAGAAATCTACAGCTCTTTAGAGCTGGTCCCTTCATTTCTCTAACAAAAGACAGACATAACATCCACTGTTATAAATCCCGTGCAGGAGCTGGGGTGGAGAGGCAATGAAAAACAGGGCAAGGATGAGAAGGTGGACTCTGGTCATCTGCCATCTTGGATGTTATAGGCACTCCTCAAAAGGCAAGCAATATCCAGAGTCCGTCAGAGTTGGGCAGCTATAACAAATTTAAATAACCAAACAACTCTTTTTTTTATCAGTATAGAAAAACACAGAGGGCCTGCTGGTTTGGGAATTACACCTTACTTTCAAAGCTATGATAACATGGTAGAGAAAATGATTAAGATATTTGGTACTAAGGTATCAGCGCTCAAGTTCTCAATGAACCATGGAGCTCATTGTGTAAATCCCTCCTTTCCCTGAAACCTACATCTCAAGATTACTGCTGTGTAAATAAAGTTGGGGGAGATCCCATTTGTGGCACCTTGAGCTTCCAAAGCAAAGATGGGATATGCAATAAATGCAATAAAGAACAGCAATTAAAATGACCACCACCATAATAATAACGTCCTTTTGTAGATAACATTTGGATCTCATCCAACAATGTAGTAAGCTCATTCCTGTTGTGTTATAAACAATTGCTGTACTTTGAAAATATCTTAAAGCAGTGGTCCCCAGCCTTTCTGGCTTAGCGGCTCAGCGGGGGGGGGGGATAGGGAATGGTTCTGTGTGAGTGACAGACGTGTGTGTGAGCGCAAGCACCCGCCACTTGTACAAGTGGAGCTCCATGCTCACACGCTCACCTGCCACTTTGTGTGGTCTGGTTCCCGGGACCCGTCTTAAAGTAAAGCCAGAGACAGTGATGGTAGTGTGCAATAGTGTAATAATGTGTGGGAAAGACCTGGGGAGAACAGGCCAAGTAATGCTGCTAAGGCAGTGGTTCTCAACCTTTTTAATGCTGTGACCCCCCAACCGGTCGTAAGTCGAGGACTAAACCGGTCGTAAGTCGAGGACTACCCAACCGGTCGTAAGTCGAGGACTTTCCCTGCCCGGGAGCGCCGCGCATGCGTGGTTCCGCCCCCTGCGCCGGCCGAGGCGTAGCTAGCAAGCAGCAGAGACGGAGCAGGCCGACCACCAGCTGGCCCAGCTCAAGGGAGGTAAGGCACCCGCCGGAAAAGGGGAAAAAAATGGCAGACAGCCTTGCTTGGCGACCACCGTGAAATGCTCGATCGACCCCAAATGGGGGCCCGACCCATAGGTTGAGAACCACTGTGCTAAGGGAACAGTCAAATAAGAGACAACTTAGTCTGCAGCTAGATAATTGGGCGGGCAAGAGGCTCAGAGAGATCCTTCCTAGTTTCTCATGCATTAAAGCAGACATGTCAAACTCGTGACTTCACATGACGTTGCGCGACGTATCGGAACTTTTTCCCCATTGCCGGCAATGGAATGGGCATGGTTTCCTCATGACGCGTCCAGCCCACGGGCCAGCAGTTTGACACCCCCGCATTAAAGGAAATGGAGAAAGGGAGGGGAATTATACTTTCAGATTTACAAGTTTCTGTTAATGTAGTTTTACAATAAAGTAGAAATAGCTCAAAGGGTTGTATTTCCTGGTCTGTTCTACCTAGTAAGGCTGACAAATAGTTCAATGCTGTGTTACAAGAAAAATCCATGTGTTATACTTTTTTATTGCCTTTAAAAGGACTCCAAAAGCTGCTGACAAGATCAGCTTGGGTGTACGATGCACATGTGGACAAGCAAAGCAGAAATATACGTAGAGAGAAAAAGACAGCAAGATATAGGGTTTTTAATACCATATTGTACTGCTGGGGTGGAGAGACTGGCAGGAGGACTTGGGGACAGGAGCTTGGAGAGTACTGAACTGGCTGCGGAGAGGACTGCAATGCTGGGACCGGCTAAGAGAGGAGCAGGAAGGGAAAAAGAGAGGGGAGAAGGGGAAGAAACAGGCATGAGAAAAGGGAGGGGAAAAAAAGAGAGGAGAAAAGGTAGAAGGAGGTTAGTAACTGTATATACATACAGATAAGCAATTTTTAAAGCTCCACCAGCGACCGAGCTCTTCCCTCACCCCCTCCCCATCTATTTTAAAGAGGAAAAAAAGAAAGAAATGAGTGCTCTGGGAAAATATTTGGTCAGAGGGAAAGAACAGGAGGAGTTGCATGGTCTTGGATCTCTGGGGAACCCGAGATATATACATATGTATTTTTCCCTAGCATTTTCCCGCAGGGCATATATATCCCAGCAGAAGCAAGTGTGCATACATCCAGCCAGCCTCATAAAAAAGGATGAGCTGGACAACCAGGTCTTGAGAACGCGTCAGAGTTCAGGAAGCAAACTTCTCCGCCTGCGTCTTAGACCACCTTCCCGATTCTTGGCAGAGGAAAAAAGCAGTAGTTTCAACTCCAACCGGAACAATGGTTTATCTATTTCTACATGGGAATTTTTACACAATCCGCAATTCTACACAGCCCACTAGGCTGGAGCGTATACATTTAAAGCAACTCAGAATGAATGAAAGCTTACTTATTCAAAATGCTTCTTCTGTTTTTCTCATGGTCAGAAAGCAAAAGGGGATAAATATCATTGGACGGTCTAGAGCAGGGGTAGGCAACCTTGGCTCTTTTATGACTCGTGGCTATGCTGGCTCAGGAATTCTGGGAGTTGAAGTCCACGAGTCATAAAAGAGCCAAGGTTGCCTACCCCAGCTCTAGAGGGATGCAGTTAAGTAAGGGGAATAAAACGCGAGTAAATAGTTGGTAAGCTATTTTGTGGATGTCTCCATAGGCTTTTAGGAAAATATCAAAAGGCTGTACATTCTAACAAGTCAGGAAAGTAAACAAAAGGGCCCACCCCAACCTGGGCATCCTCCAGATGGATGTACCTCAATTTCCAAAACTGTCAGCACCAGCAATGCTGGCTGGAGGATTTAACAAGTTGAAGTCAATACTTCCAAATATTGCTCAGGTCAAAGAAAGCTGAACCCCTCCTATGGGTTTTTAAAAAATATATTGCTTTGGGTTCTTTTTTCTACTTGGAAACATGAAGGACTAGAAACCAGAACAAAGGAGGTTCCCCTTTCACACATTAAGACACAAATACAAAATATGCTTTTTGAGAACGTGCTATTAGCTGGGGTGGAGCACTGGAGGTCTTTAACAAATAAAGATGACTAACTTTAACAAATAAGGGTGATGAAGTGAGCCCAATTTCATCAATAAGATTATAAAGTTTAAAGATAATTGGCTATAAGTGAAAACACATTAATACAAATTACCCTTTATGTCTCCCCATCCCATTTCTAGCTTTATATAAATGATTGTGCTTAATGGAAAGTTATTGAAAACTTGGCTTACTTTATGCTTGCCTTAATATAAAATGGAATTTCCAAATGTATTATTGCTTCTTAAATCTGATAGGAATGCTTATATCCCTTTCCCCTTTAAAAGGAATCTAAATCCAGATAACAAAATCCTTCTGTTTCTCTTAACCATAGGTTCTATTCTATATTATAGTTATGTACAAGATTGTAACATAGTAAATATTTATGCATTCGTGTATTTATTTATATCCTGCCTTTATAAATAACTTAGAGTGATGAATGTACTAATACCCCTTCCTCCTATTTTCCTACAACAGCCCTGTGAGGTGGGTTGGGCTAAGAGAGAATGACTGGCCCAATCTCACTCAGCTGGCTTTCATGCCCAACTACATAACATCATCTGTCTTAGTGAGTGTGGAGTTTGCTCTCTGTTTATATACAGTAGCTTCCCCTGCAAATATTGGTATTGATGTGTGTGTATATGTGCGTGTCTGTTGTGTTTGTGTTTCTCTTTTCTTTGGTAGTTTTTTTTTAATTAAAGTATAGTTTTCTACTTGTTTGTTTGTTTGCTTGATTAGGGTATTGTTTTCTGCTTTGTCTGGTGTTAATTCCTACTTATCTGGATGTTGGCTGCTGGAGCGGATGCATTCTGATATTTTGGTTTCCTTATTAGCTTTTTTATTGTCACTTTTGATTGGTGTTTAAACATGGCTTATCTCTATCTGTTTATTGGTGGCTGATCTGTCAGAGTGTCAAGCTTCTAGGAATTTGCTAGTGTTTTTCATTTTAGCTTGGCCTAGGATATTCACAGCTGGTTGAGTCTGTCCATGTGTCATAAAAAAATTAAGAAGCTTCCATTGTATCTTTTGAGTTGGTGGTGTTGGTGTTCATGAATGCACCCTGCTAGTCTTCTGCCTGTCTGTCCAACATAGTGTTGGAGTCCTTATACTCTCTATTTTATAAGTGACTCCTGTTTTTTTCTTCTTGGGCTACTGGGTCATTTGGTTTACTTAAAAGGTTCTTAAGTGCTTTAGTTGATTTGTGTGCTATGATGATACTGTGTGGTGTTAACAGTCTGTTGGTTGTTTCTGAGATGTTTTCGATGCATGGACGTATTATCTTTCTCTTAGTTTGTGTTGGTTGTGCTGTAGTGGATTGAGTGGTCACTTTTTTTTGATAAAGTTGCACGGATTCTTTTGCTAGTTGTAGTTCTATGGATGTAAAAGAGTGCCATGACCTCAAATGAAACCATGACCTCATTTTCTTCTATTATTGGGTCTTTGATTTTCTGGAGGCAGGGTAGTGGGAAGACAGAATATCTCTGTGAGAGATACAAGCTTCTTTTAAAGTTTTTAGCTGTATTGTATGTTGGAGTCCCTGGTAGTGACACAACTGGATGAAGATGTATATTGAGACTTAAGGCTTCCATAGAAGTTTGGGACGATGGGTCCACTACTTTTCATCTGACCTTTCTTGATTGGGTCATTAAGGCTTCTCTTGATCAGGCTGCCTAGTTGTCTAGTTTCTGCATTGGCTTGGCATTTACTGGGAAGCAATAGGAGTCAAGGGGAAAAGGTCAAAGAGAGAACCATCTTCATAGTACCTGATGTATGCTTCTTTAGTAGAAGCACTCAGGGCTGTGACCCCTAAGCTGGAAGAATGGCTCGAACACATTCCAGGAACAACATCAGAGCTAATAAAGGAGAATATCTGTAGCTCAGGGTTGAAATGAGGGGTCCTTGATGGTCTCTGAGCTTGGCTGTTGTCTTGCAGATGCCTCATTACCCAAACTAGGTAACATCATCAGTGCACATGCTAGCACCTGATGAGGCAAAGGTGCTTTTTCCAAAGGCAACTGGACTTCGTTTTTCCTTGAAGACATTTTGCTTCTCATCCAAGAAGCTTGTTCAGTTCTGACTGAATTGTAGTGAATGGAAGGAGTTATATTCCTTGCAGGCATCTGGTCATTACGACTCTCTCTGAGAATCGCTGAAGCCACTTAGAGGTTTATCTGTGCACTCAGGTCACCTGAATAGTGCAAATGGGTGTGGAGCCTTCTTGGAACTGCTGAAAGGACCGTGTTGTAAACAGGAGATAGGTGGTGTCGAACCCCTCCCCTTCTGTAGAGAGAGGGCTGTTCAGTTTTAACACAGATGGCCTCTTTCACCTCCTCTCTGTTCGGAATGTGAACTTGTGCGGCATATGGCTGTCTTCCAAAGAGTGACCTTTGTCTTTCAAATGCAGATGGATTGATGAATCTCCTCTTGATGGGTTTGTTCCTTCCATTCTCCACCATTCAGTCAGAACGGAAGAAGCTTCTTGGATGAAAGCGAAACGTCTTCAAGGAAAAACAAAGAAAGTCCAGTTGCCTTTTGAAAAAGCACCTTTGGGGACAACCATGACTTGGATGACTGAGAATCTCCACAGACATTTAGCACTAATTTGTGTAATGAAATGTCTGTGAGAAAACAACCAAACTCAGAGAGCACCAAGGACCCTCTCAACACCAGAGCTGTGCAGAACAACATTTAGAAGAATGTAGTGCAAGGTATGCATGGAAGCCTCAAACGCCAAGGCCTCTGATAGAGCATCTGAGATTGAGGAAAACACACAACACCATTTATGGGGTAAGAAAGGATTTAAAAAAAAATAAAATGTAGGATAAAACATAGTAACAGTAACTTACGTCAAGTGAAAAAGAGACCTTTGGACTACAATTCTTCATCTAGAGTAGAACCACATATGTATTCATAATGTAAAGTCCCTTTCCATGAATTTGCACTTGGCTTTAGTTAATGACCCTCAAACCCTGGATACCTGAGATCTGCTCTCTCCTATGCTACAGCTGAAGATACACAGTCCATTAAAAGGAAAAGGGGAGGGAAAAAAAAGGAAGAGGAAAGAGGTGCCTAGAAGGGAGAAAACCTTTTTCATATTTTGTCTTATAAAATATGATACCTGTCTGGCCAGTTCAATCTGACAAAGATTGGTATGCTCCAGGTTCCATCAATTAAACCATGCCATCTGCTGGGACCACAGAAACACAACTGCTCTATAGCAGCACCTGTTTTCTGGAATGAGGTTCCTCCCAAAATTCAAATGGTCCCCACCCTATTTGCATTTTGAAGGACCTTGAAGACTTGGCTCTTCATGCAGCCTTTGGCAAGGACGACTGATGCCCCTTTCTTTTTCTTTTTTAATTGGTTGCCATTCGAGTTTGTTTCCTTTGCCGTGTCTGGTTTTTTTTTCCTATTGGTTTTATGTTTTTCTATTGTTCCTTATTTTTTAAATGTTTTGAACCACCCAGAATCACTGGGAGCCAGGTGCCATATACCTGTCAATCAGCATCTTCATCTGGACCAAACTATTAAGCATATACCTATAGGTCCTGCAAGTCATACATACCCTACAATAAGTCATGTGTTGTTTTTGCACAGCAAAATAAACTCAGCAGGGTGTGGTATCAGGGCAGGAGTCACCCATGATACATGATTAAACTTGACACTCCTCCTCTTGATCTAGTTTGAAGCTGACGCACTTATCAGCACCTTTTTAGAGCAGCTGCGCTTTTTTCTTGCGCATGCATGTAGCTACATGACCTTAAGAAATGTAAGTGGTACCCAACAAGAGGCAACCGAGAAGGAAATATGAGCATATTTTTTACCATGCAAGCTCAGGAAAGGAAGTGCTGGCAGATGCAGTCTGTATACGCTTGCCTGATCCGAATCGCCTTTTTCCGCTTCAGGCCTTATATATCCGGCACATCCCTAGTGAAGAATCTAAAGAATTAAGGCGCCCATTCTTCGTATTTCTATTGATGCAGCCTGAAAATTTCCTTGAGGGAGTAAGTTTGGGACATCATTCTTCCCTGCATTTGACTACACCTGGTAGGATCCAATTGAGAAATAGAAAGAGAAAAACCCGAACACGGTTTGAAGAGGGAGGTAAATACAGAATGTGTACGCCTCTGCTCTGTCCCTACTAATATAGACCCTGGGGCACTACAGTCTTATCTAGAAAAATCTCCTACTCAAAATGTTTTGAGGGTCACCTCAAAATACACGTGACAGGAAGCCAGGCATGTACCCAATTTTGTGCTACAATCAAACCAGAAGGCGGAGAGTCTAAGGGGACTAATTTGTGCACAAGGTCATAAACATTATTCAAGCTTCATATAAACATTTCCGAGTGCTCCACTGGCCACCACTTCCTCAGTTAAGGAGCCACAAGGAAGAGCTTCCCACACAGCGGTAGCATTGAATAATGACTCACCTGTGATATGATGTGATTAGTCATTGCTGGCTGTTGCTGCGGTGTGGGTGGAAGTGGCTGCGGCTGCAGCTGCTGAGCGGCACACGGCAAGAGGCTTCGGCCAGGCTGCGCAGAGGAGACTTGGCTGCAGGCTTCAGGAGTACTTAGAGAGAGACCTTCATTAAAATAAAATGGAGTGGGTAAGGTGTGAGCAAAGAACCTGCTTTTTTTTCCCCTGTAAGAAGTGGTGCCAGGGCTCAACAGTGCCTAGAAAAAAACACAGGATTCCAAATCCTAGACTGTATGCAGAAATATGTCTCTTGGTGCTCTCTGAGCTGGCTTGTTTTCTTGCAGACGTTTCATTACCCAAACTAGCTAAGATCATCTGTGCTAGTATCTCTAGCACTGATGATATTACCTAGTTTGGGTAATGAAACACCTGTAAGAAAACAAGCAGAGCACCTCATTTCGACCCTAAGCTACAAATAGTCTCCTTTATTGGTAGAAATGTGTCTGAATGTACTCAATTTCTACTCAAACTTTCCTGTGATTAATTTACGTGGTCCAGGTCTGAGCTGAGATAGTCTATGGATCAGGGGTAGTCAACCTTGGCTCTTTTATGACTCGTGGACTTCAACTCCCAGAATTCCTGAGCCAGTTATGCTGGCTCAGGAATTCTGGGAGTTGAAGTCCACGAGTCATAAAAGAGCCAAGGTTGACTACCCCTGCTATGGATTGATGCTCAGCCTTAGCTTATTGAAACCTTTGTGAAAAGTTCACGTTGTTTTACTGATTTCTATAGATTCTTCTGAGCATCTCCGAAGAGTCTAAAAATATGTCCATAGCAAATCCATGATAAAAAAAAAAACTTAAATTGTGCAATATTCCATCACTGAAACATCTCTTTGGGGTGTACCAGAAATGATCTGATCATGAAACAGCCTCTTGTAAAGTTGAAATACTTCTGATCTTTTGATCTATTGATCATAATAAATTTTATTACCACTACACTTGACATGTTGAGGATAGAATGGGATGTTCCAAGGGCAGAATGTTTTAACCTTGAAATGATTAAAAATAACATCCTGCATAATCCTATTTCACACTGAAAAGACTACTGTGAATGAATCAAACCAGTAAATCATATTTCGCAATACAATAATATAACAAAGCAAAGGTGAATGAGGACCACATTTCTAGCTTCCTTAAAAATCTTTGAAACTATTTGGGCTTTGAGTTTTTTTGAGCTTCTCTCTCTCTCTCTTTCACACACACACACAAACACACACACACACACACACACACACACAGAGCGACAGAGAGAGAGGGGGAGAGAGACAGAGACAGAGAAACATAAACACGGTCTCAACTATTCCCCTACTACTATATTTAAAAACGGTTCTCTTGGTAACAATATCTTTACTTCAAAAGTAGAGATTTCCAATTAGGAAGAAATGGCTTCCAAATAAATGTAATCCAGAAGATGAAAAACAACATGTGGGCAAGCCATTCTTATGTATACAATACATTCCAGTCAAAGAAGCTGGTAAAATTAGAAATATTTTTATACTGAGTGCAAAGATGATGCTTTATTGGATGCTAGCCATAATTATTTTCATATATTCACACAGTTCTAGATTTCCATCAGATTCACTTAGTATTGCACTCTGTCTCCATGTCCTTTAAAAATGCATTAACTGTATTATACATTTACTTCAAATAACGTAAGTATTTTTAAGGCAAAAACTCCATGGCACCCAATCAAAATGCATTTTTCACCTTTTTTTAACACAAAACACAAAATTGTAGCTTTAAGCCACTAGAGAACAAGGGGGAGATAAAGTAAAATATGCACCAGGATATATTTTCGTGTATGTATGAATTTTTTTTTTATCTGACTTCCAGTTTGCCATCGCGGCCGCCACGGACACTGGAAGGCGAGCTCCATCTTCCGCGTTTGATTTCGTTCCGCTGGGGGATCCTGGAAAGGGTCGAAAGTCGCCCTGTAGGGGCGGCGAGCAAGGAGGGGACCCCCACTTGAAAATAAGGATTCTATTTATTTAATATTTAAAAATTAGACCCAAAAGAAAAAAATTATGAATGTTTGATTTATTGATTAACCCAGACAATATATATAATGGTTTTGATTTATTGAAGGGGATACTGTATTATTAATTAGATGATTTAATATGGTGGGAAATAGATAACTTTTAGAAAATAGAACAAGACTATACTCAAATAGATAAGATGTGTATTTTGAATATTAGATTCTGTTATGAATTGAGATAAGGGAAACTTTGGTTACCTAAAGCCTGGAAATTATAAATATCAAGTGTTAAATTTGAATATTGATGGGAAACTAAAAATTGGGGAAAAACCAATAACAGGACATTGATTGTCTATAAAGATTGAATGTAAAAGTAATTAAGATATGTATAAGCTAAAAATTTATTGATAAATATAAGAATGATGTTTTTACTTAGTTGATATAATAAGAACTGTATTAGCTTAAATACGAGATAGTAGATATTAAGGGAAAAAGAGAGGAAATATTTGATGTTGTAACTTGAGATTTGTGCTAAAGATTTTTGTATGTTATTGAAGTATTGATTAATCCAGCCACCACGTTGCTTTTTAAATGCTTAAATGTAAAATTAGAAAACTAATAAAATATTATTTAAATTTTTTTTATCTTCAGTGATGTTCCAATAGGTCAAATGCATTAATTCACAATAGAGTCACAGTACAAAAAAGCAGATTCAGACCATGTTTCCCACTATATTATACATCATAAGTGACTTTTTATTACAGAAGGCCTTCAAGTTATAATGGCAATGGGGACCAGCATTTCTGTCGCTAAGTGATGTGGTTGTATAGCTCAACATCACATGACTGCATTGCTTAGCGACAGGGCACACCCTGTTGTCCTCATTAACCAACTCCCAAGGGCCATTAGCTGAGAACCTACCCTAATTCAAACCATTCCTGTCTTGGCCCTTCCCTATCTCCACCACCACCACCGAGCCCCCCCTCCCCAATTGCAATCCTTCTGGCCACCCTGCACAGCCCCAGAACCATGCAGCTTTTGGGCTCCTTGTTGCACTGCAACTCAGGGGCTTCTTGTTGTGCCATGCTCTGGAGCAGCAAGAAGCCCCTGAACTGCACTGCAGCGCAAGGCTCCAGTTGACTCAAGAAGCCCCAGCTGCCCCTATCCAGCCCAGCATCACGGCCATCCTAGGAAACCCCAACCACTCCAGCCCAGAGGCACGGAACAAAAGCCACAGCTACAGCCAACTTTAGCCACCCTAAATTCTGTGGCTCTTTCCACCCTGCACTCCACCCCTCCACCCCCACCCTTGAGCTGACCTTTGCTGCCGTTTTGCTCCCGCTGCCTATGTGGTATGACTGGCCCGGTCCTTCACGAAGCAGCTGGTGGCCATCTCAGGCCTTCTTCTAAAGGTCTCACAAAAAAACCCTGCCACACGTAACCTTGGGAAGAAAGCCTAGTGAAGGGTCAGGTTGAGCATGCTTGGTCAGCAGTGGGAGCAAGAAAAGGACAAAGGTCAGTGTGGGCAAGAGAGCAGAGGGTGGCAGGGGCTATGGAGTGGAGGGACCAAAATTGCAGAGATTTGAGGGCGGGGGAAAGACAGTCAGATGAAGGAATTGAAGTTCCTCTGAAGTTATAAGTTTGGGCAGGCTACCAAATGCCCAAAAGTTTGATCACATGACTGTGGGGGTTCTGCAATGGCTGTAACAAAGCCTGGGTATATGTACCATTCATTCAATGCCGCTGTAACTTTGAAATGTCACTGAATCAATGGTGATAACTCGAGGACTACCTGTATATGTAACCTAGTTTAATCTACTGTGCTAAAACCTTAATGCTTTTTGCAAAGGTGATGCAAAACTTGAAGCTCCAATATACAGATGCTTTACTGGGATACAGAAAGATGCTTTCGTGTTTATTTCTTCAAGTCAGAAATGTTAGGTATCTTCAATTTAATAAAACAAGGTTTTTAAATTTGCAATGCCTATCCAGGAAACCAAATAAACTTGGGATAACTACAGATCTTTCATCCACTATGAAGTGACCAGTAAATTTTCAGTTTAAAAGCTGGGGAAAATTAAGTCTCCTAGAACTTTGGTTCTGCCTGCAACCAAGATGTGGTGCCATCCCAAATGTGATTATTAACTATTTATGACAAAGCAGTGAGATAGCCCAAATCTACGCAGTAGGCCTCAAGGATAAAGTTGGATTCCAAATCTTATGCAATCAAATGAAATATTAGCCTGGGGGAGGGGGGGAAACAGGTGATCTGATTATCATTATCATTATCATTATTGATCATTATCATTATCATTATTCTGTATCCCTTTCTCTGGGTTAATTCTAAGGTGAGTCCTTTTTTTTCATCTCTGTGAAACTTAATATTCTAAACAAAAACCCCTCCCTTCCAAAAACCCTCTTTATTTTCCCTGTACAGGAAAGGCTTTCAGCGTTCTGTTTCTGACTGTAATGGTATGACCATAATTACAGTGGCATTTGAGCAACAGTAGGCACTAACTAGTTTTTACTCCCACAGACATTCTTGCAAGGACAGAATTATCATCACCACTTCCCCTGATGAATGCAAAGGATTCAGGAAATATATTACATTTATTTACTTTTTGTTAAAGCCAACAACTAACACCACGCACAGCTCAACCCACCACACGCTGGACCTTCTTGGATATGATTGCTCTGCTTTATAATAGCACTGAATGGTACCCAGATTAGGAATTCACCTGTACAAGCCGACTGCTCTAGGGACCAAGCACGACTCCACTTCTTCGTTTTGTCACAGAAAAATCACTGAATAATTAAAGGGCTGATCCACATGTGATAAGAGAGTGTAAAGTTTTTCCTAGGTGTTTCCGAGACTCACAGACAACTCTATAGGACTCTTGTGGTATATATCCTCATGCTATTTGTGCATTGTGACTTAAACTGCACATGCAATAAATAGTCCAAAACAACTGTGTAGGAAGCTGCTTTAGCCTTCCCATTTGTTATGTGTCATATTTAGCTAACTATTCAGGTTAACCACCAAAAGATGCTGTTATGACCTCTTATGACACGACATAGCATGTTCTTACCAATAAATTACTTTCACTCTAACTGTGGTCCCTATTCTTCTCATGTATGACGTATGCAATTGAAAAAAAAAACAGAACAGAACACAGTGTTAAAAATAAATGGTAAACGGAAAGGTAACTTGACATTTTGCTCTTTATTTTATCCATATGGTTAGTATTTGGTCTTTGGATTCCTGTTTGCCTCTTGCTGTTAGAAAAGATTCTACGTAAATGATAAAATGAAAATGTCGAACTACCAGCCCCTTCGAAAGACGGTGCTGTATTTGCTGAAAATAAGAGATCTTAAGGAACAGTTGCTATGCAAAAAGAAATTAAAATGAAGCAGATTTATGTTGCAAGAAAATTCAACCAAACCCGCCATCTAGTCTTCTTTAAAAGCACATGAAGGATTCACTTGACACAGTCTCTGGTTAAAATATTTATGTTTGAAGGACAGAGAGAAAGAGGACCAAGCTTTACTTGTTGGCGTAAGAAAATCATGAGTTTGCATGAAGTTATGCCCTAAATATTTGTACAGGAATCTACATAATTCTTCTCTTGTAAGTTTCTCAGGGGTGGCTCCTAAGGAAGGAAGCATTTTTGCACATATTTGCATACCCAACATCATCAAGAGTCTGAATAAATCAACCGTTTCTGCACCAAGGAGGGATAGCTGGACAAGGACATAAATAGTTTTTTTCCAGTTCTGTGACTGAAAGAAACACAATCTCCTTGATTATCAATCCAGGGAGCTTGCAAATGAAAAAAAAAATTATCTACATCCTACTGACTGATGGGAATTGTAGTCCAAAACATCTGAGGTTTACTGGTTGAGAGGTACCCGAGGGGCCAGGAGAAAGAATTGGTAGCAGGGAAGAGGTTCTCTAGTACTAGTGCCCAATAAGGAAAATGCTGGCAATGAAGAGGCTAGAAGAAAGAGGAACATAATCAGAAACAGGACCAAAATTTCAATCTCCTGAAACCCCGTTGGGTCTAAAATGCCAACCCAGACACAAAAATTTCCTTTTTTGCTGCTAATTATGCACTCAAACTCCTACGTAAAGGAGTAGGCAGCACCATCCAAATCGCATTCGGTATCACTCAGGTCTGTGTCTATTATGCTACGATGCCAAAATAAGTCCGGCATGAAGGGAAATCCAAGCTGAGTGATCAAAATACGGCACATCCAATACATTTAATTATACATCTCTTTGATAATACTTTGCAAAATAGTACTTTTGTGAGGGCAGAAATAACTACTTGCTTAAAGCCACCTCATGAATTTGCATTCGAGACTTCCTAACCCACAGCTCCTGCTTTCGGTCACATTCCCACACAAGGTCTTGGTGTTTTTAAGAACTTTTCATTACATAATATATTCATATACCAGCTGCCATGTAGCACTCCTCCACCAGTCTCTCTTCCCATGGGAATAATGTGACAGAGAATAATGGAAGAAGGAAAGGGATGAAACTTAGTTATTTGTGGGACAAAGATGGGCGAGCAGTTAAAAGTAACCAATGGAGATACAACTAACAGACCAACATAAAAAGGAGCAGCATTTATTCTGCATTTTTATTACAGTTTTTGTACAAATGAGATAAAAAAAATAAAAATTCTGAGAATATGCATCACTAAATCACCCAGCAACACAGTCTATTCTTGGTGCTTTAGTTGTGAACCACACTTACTGCATGCCTGCCTTGATGGCTTTCTTCTGTGACTTAAAAAGCTATGTACATGGTTTAAAAATGGGTGTCAAATAGCTAGATGCCAAAGACAAAACAAAAAATGTCAATGTTCTTTGATGCAAAGACCAACTTTTCATGCATCTGCACAACCAGATGGGTGACAGGATTTTTTTCCAACACCATGATGACTATGAAGGCAGGGGATCATGTTCGTAAACAAGTATGCTAAAAGGAAAACACGGTAAAAGAAATAAACAAAGGCATATCAGTCCCTGCCCTTGAAGTAAACAGGCTGAGTAGATGGATGGTTATATATGAGTCATCCCTAGTGCTGTAGAAAGCAACAGTGAGAGAGGAGACACAATGTTACTTTATGCCACCCTCTGTATTGACACATCCCTATTTCTGAGGGTAAAAGGATGAATTAGTACATCTGTAAATGCATCATCCACCCCATAAATTAAGTATGCTACATAATACTGCGGAGCGATGGAAGAGAATCTTGGAAGTGCATGTTCTTTCACCTTGATGGGAAAGAAATAACAATATGCTAACTTACCCATACAAATAACAAGTACCAACGCAGATGCTGATGACTGTACAATAGCACTGAAGGTACCTCTCCATGCACCACTTCTCCTTCAGAAGCGTATTTAATGTTACCCAACATTTCCCAACCTGCTACTTTGTTGATGTTTCAGATTACAGGCTGATCTCTATTCCTGACATGCTAGGTAGGTGAAATCGCATTTTCTAGCCTTGTTTGCCTGACCTAAGAGATGTAAAATTCATCTTTTCAAAAAAATTTCAAGAGCCACCATCATTTTGGGTTGCATATATATGGAAACTCGTCAGTTTTCTTATGATCTGTTTCTAGCTGGGAATGATTAAGAGTTTTTACTGAATAACACACCAATTAAAACAGATAAGAAATCTCAGAATGAAATTACAGAATTCTGAATGCTGATTTTTATTTTATCCAAGAGAACTAGACGAGGTTTATATTCTGCACATCATTCTCACTGACGGCTATTGTGGAACAGGTCATCAACACTGAAGCCTGTACCAGACTGGCATGGTATGACCTATAAACAGCTCAAGGGGAAAAATGGAGACTAAGCATTATCACTTTGGGTTGCTTTTCAACGTGAACATTTTTTAAAGCTGACACAGCACTAAAAAGGGCCTTCATAAAATCCAACATATATGGCTCAGAAATAAAATATCATCATGTTTAAAGCAGTTCTAATTGGATTAAAAAGACAGAAGGTATTTTGTCAATATGGCCCAGTGTTGTAGTTGAGATCCAGATCCAGATGATACTTAAAGAGACTGACTTTTTCTCAACATCTCAATCATCTCTGGAATGGGACAAAAACCTCGATACCAGCTCGTTTCCTGTTGCCGGCTCCGTTTCTCACAGCTGACATGACTGCTATCTAGCGCAAACGTTTCAGGGTGCCTCCTCTTCAGGTCTTTTGATTTCTATAGTGTTAAGCAATGCTAATGCATGAGAGGCGGGCTAGGACCCACTGGAAGGGGGACACACAGGATTACCCCAAGATATAGTCACCACAAACTTAGAATCTCTTATTTTACTTGAAGAAGGGCAAATAAAGAGTTACCTGGCCTGGCAGTCCTGTTGGCGCCATTCCCTTTGCCAATGCCGCCAATGCTGTCTCCTCGGGTCAAGATAGAAATGCCACTGAAGCTGCTGGCTTTGGTGACCGGGGGCCGCAGATTGCGCGTCGAGCCATCAGAGTCTGTGCTACTCCACGGCCGGGGCTCCAGGGATTTCATCTCACTCTCCGTGCTGCTCTGGCGGCTGCCTGAAGCCCGGCTGAGCCCATCTCGGTTACCCCTGTGGCAGGGATGGCAACGACTGTTATTGTGGGACCAGAAAAAGGCACAGCCTGTCTAAACATTCAAGGTGTCAATGTTTTGGCATTGGAACAGCAGACAAATGAGCACAAGTAGCTACACCGAAAAGGGCCAGCTGAAAAGCTACTGGCGTTCAAACAGACTTAACCTGTAGGCCGATGGACCTTACAGGCTGCCCCTGGAGAACTAGGCAGAATGGTCAGCATCACAATGGAGGGGTGACAACCTAAGTCAAAACTGCCCTCCGTAACAAGTGCTCTGACCAAAAATGTAGGATGAGTTCAAGCAGGCCCCTGCTCTGACATCAGAATTTGAATGTCCCTCCTAACTCAGGGAGCAGGTGTTTCCAGCAGGCAGTTTAATTTAAGCAGTGTAACTTTTTGGGGGAGTAAACTGCAGCAGGGGCATCACGAAACCATTTGAAACCTTTTGTGCTAGAAAGTGATTGGAATGTTTCCTCGCGTAGCATGTACCTGCAACTCGCTCCTTACAAACACTTGTCAAAAATTATCTCAGCGCTGAAAACATAGAATCTGCACACGACATCACTAAACAAGAGCAAGTTGGTGAGAACTGGAAGAAAGTGTGAAAAATACTGGCAGTCTAGTTCGTATGTGAGAAGGTACAAATGAAAAACAAGATTGTTCCTAAATTCCAGGACAGCATTAGATAGGTTAATGGGAAGAAGTTTATTAAAATTACAGGGAGTTATATAACAGTAAGGACAGCATAAATGCTTACGCTTCCAAGAATACAGTTTAACAGCAATTCCCCAAGGAGAACAATTCAGAAGTAAGTGGGGAAGCGTAATCAATGTATTTAATATTGAAAGTCATCTAGGAAAACTTTAATTGGCTGAAAGGACATTTATAGGTTTGGTACTGCTTGTCCAGACTGAGATTATATTAAGAATTCACATAGCTTGAAACTGACATATATATAGCCAACACCATGATGTATCTCAAAGCTTTATACAGGTCTTTTTGCTTCAAACCTCATGTTTACAATCCCTGGGAATAGAAGCTAATTGTTTTTAAATACCAAATGCCGATAAACATAACTCTATCGACAAACTACTAGTACTGGCACATAGTCCTTCAGGCAAGCAGGCATGCTTTAGATAAGAGTGCATTGAGAAAAAGGCTCAGTACCCAATGCTTGAAAAAGAGGAAAGGGAAGGATTTAGTGACCCAGTAGGTATAAAATGCATATCTTTTTGCAGAGATGCTCTTTAGGTGTGGCTATCTTAAATCTTTGGTCTTCAGTTTACTCCTATAATGTTTTGTTTTTAAACTGTTAGTTTAAAAAGAATTTGATCTTGTTGCACCTGAAAGAGCTTTTAAAGGATGTTCACTCAAACTGCACTGAATTTATAGACAAACAGTTGCATATACACAATCTTCCTCCCTTCTTTCTCTCTAGGTGGATATCTTATTATTGAAGGTGATAAAGCTGCAGGATAAATTCCTCCAGCTTATTTGTACCTGCAGCCTACAGAACTCCATGTGTTCAAACACGTTTCACACTAAATTTGTAGCTGAATATAACAATGGTAGCCCAGATATTTAGCTACTGCAAGGTGGCTAAGTTTCAAACTTGGGCAAGGGACTTCAGCCAGATGCAGAGATAACAGTAGGCTGTCTTTCAGTCCAAAAGAAACCTCCCCCCCCCCCAAATCCATACTTGCCAAGTTGAAAAGCGTCAGCAATTCTGAGTTTTGGTATTTTGCTTTCTCAATTCCCCCATCATATGTCAAGATTGGAAATATTGGGAACAGATGGTTTTGGTTTGTCAATATTAAAATTAGTATGTCAGACTCTGAAAAAATGATTTCAACCACCTGAAAGGATTGAGTGGAAAAATGGACCCTAAATCTATTGTGGCAAATTGAAAAGTTAGTCTATCATTACAGAAATTGGCAATGGGGACTATTCCGATCAATCTCCGTGGAATATGTAATGTATAGATCTCTATGATATAAAGCCTGTATTGCTGAACAATGGGAAGTTTTCAAACTAAGGAAGTGAACACAGAACTTTATCACAGTGGGAAAAAATGGGGTGGGGGGAGATAGCCGTAGTCATTGCCAATGGCTTACAAAAAAATGTTGAGTCAATAAGTATTTTAATTTCTCCATTATCATCAGAACAGAACAGAAAAATGCATCTATGGAAGAGATTAAACAACACACTCTATAACCTGAATTCACGTTACTGAAACTACCTTATTCTGAGATATGTCGACAACCTTCAAGCATACTTTGGACAGAATAAACCGGGGATTTATTTTATATAGACAGCATGGGAAGGAAAGTTGAAGGGTACTGTTGATCAAGTAGTGTTCATTCCATGATGGCTTGTCCAGAAGAGCTTTCACACAGGATGTATCAAGAGACCCCACTTGAACAGACCTCACTTTTATTTATTATCACTGCTTACTAGCCAATTCTAACTCATATCACTTCTTTATATAGGAACACATACAAGCTTCTGAGAACAATGGCCTCTATGCTGAGTGTCCCCCAACAATTTCAAATTCTTAATTGCATCTTACCACATTAGATCTTTGGGATAATTTGTTGAAACCTAACCAGAACAAAACCACCTATAGATAAGAAGTTCATCTGTAGACATGGCAGCTTCCTTTCATCTTGCCACATGAAAGGAAGCTGCCATGCCTACAGATGAATTTCTTATCTATAGGTGGTTTTGTTCTGGTTAGGTTTCAACAAATTATCCCAAAGATCTAACAACTGATCCTAATAAAGTTCTGGAAGGCAGACGAGGCAGCCTCATAAGGCAACTGAGTTTTGTGGCTGCTATTAAAAGTAACAGAACCGAAGACAGATACAGATGTGGGACACTGTGCCCGAGAACAAATTCCTGTATGAATCCCACTGAAGCAAGCAGCAGCTATACAAGAATAATAACTCCAGCTCAACTCTGACAGGTATAGTTTGGCCTTCAATGCTCATAATTTGCTACTTAGGCCCTGAGCAAAATATTATATTTTTTCCATCACAAAGCAAAAGCACTTATATCATGCCATGCAGACTGCTCTTATTGAAGTATACCAATGCAGTCCACACAATTTACCTGCTCGTTTTCCCAAAGTAGCAAAAGCAACATCAATAGATGAGTTACATGCTAAAGGTAACCATGGAAAAAGAGTAACACAAGAGAAAAGTGAAGAATTTCTTGATCCTGCTCCTATTTACACATTTACTTCAAGAAAGTAGAAAATTACTGCATTAAGGGTTTGGCATCACAGTTTAGGATTTGCAAGGTTCTTTTCTCTTATATTGTTAATAAGGAATTTTACAAAAGGTCATTAGGATTTGATCTTCATTTGATATCCTCATTATGCAAATTTATCCAATGATTATCAGTCTTTAGACTGGACATTTTCCAAAGCTTTAGATTCTATTCAAGCTTAGGAATCATGTAGGTATTATAGTTTATAAGAAATTACAAGCAAGGTTTTTCTTTGCGAAGTCAGCAGTTTCAAGTCCAATTGATTTAAAATGTCCAAATATTTGGTGAATCTCTGTGGTATGGTACAAAGAACTCCAATTACTATTGGCGTTATAGTTGATTTTTTTTTCTTCCAAAGTCCTCCAATTTCAAATTACAAATCTCAGTAATTTTTCCATTTGATTTTTATCATTTACGTCCTAATATTTCTATGAACATCAGTTTCTTCCCCAATAGCAGTAATGTCTGGTTTTTCAGTTGTCTGTTGGTCTGTATTTTAAAACTCAAGATTCTGACATCCTCATTTTCTTTTTCACACATGTGGTGCCAAGTAGCTTTTTTTAACAGTAAAGCCAAGTTTTCCACATAGATTTCAAAGTATAATTTTTGTCGCAATTTCATGGGATTGATAATACACTCTGGGCAACTTTACTGCAGCAACTAATGAGATGATCTACATGTTCATCTTTGATCTTACGTAGTTGGTATTTGCTGTAGTTTAAAATATGTCCAATTTCGGCTTTGATGATTCGTAACCTGTTGCCATGGTGGCTCTTCTGTGCTTTTTCTTTTAAAGAATTCCAGCTTTTAGCTGCAGCCAAGTCAAATATTGAAGTGATTCCCCTTCAGTATCATGTATATACTGAACATGAAGAAATTTAGATTTTCAGGCATTAGTTTTCAGTGCTTCCTTTTTGTAATCTTTTTATTTTTATTTATTATTCTTTAGGGCAGTGTTTCTCAACCTTGACAATTTTAAGGCATGTGGACTTCAACTCCCAGAATTCCACAGCCAGCATTGCTGGCTGTGGAATTCTGGGAGTTGAAGTCCACATGCCTTAAAATTGTCAAGGTTGAGAAACACTGCTTTAGGGGGTTTTTTTTGTGCTGCTGCTGCTATCCTCAACCTACACTTGAGTTATTTTAATGAAGTGGCTGAAGGGAGCAACCTGAGACTGAATCTTAGCAAAATAGACCTTGTTATTGACATATTCAGCCAGGTGAATTGTACTCATAAAGTGAACTTTTTACTGAAAAGGTTACAAAGTTGTAATGTGTGTGTGTAGGCGTGTATGTATTCTGCTCTCATTTTCATGGTTTGGAAGGTGTTTCTTCACCCAATATTATCGGTAGAAGCTCAACTGACCTTTGCCTCTTTGCTTTGGCTAGTAAGCAGACTCTAAAACTTCAAAAGACTCTAAAATTATAATCATACAGATTTACCCAAGCTATTTTGCAAAGGTTCTGCCCTGAGCATTAGATGATTCCAGGGCAGAGGGCCTTTTCAGTAATGGCATCCTGACAAATATCAAGCCCTGAAACTATCCTTGTCGACTTGGGGTGTCAGGAGAAGACAGCTGGGTTTCTTAAATAAGTTACAGGAATCTGGATTGCTGGGTTTTTAAAGCCATGTGGTGCATTTTGCTAGTTTAGTTTCAAGATTTCTAAATGTGTGCTGCTTTTTGAATGTATGGCTTCGTGTCTTATTTTATATTTACTTTCTACACTTGTCCAATGTAAGCTGCTACAAATCTTTGTATTCCTGGATAGCATATAGACCAGTGATGGCGAACCTTTTAGAGACCGAGTGCCCAAACTGCAACCCAAAACCCACTTATGCATCGTCGAGTGCCGGGTGGGTGTGGCCCATTGAGTGGGCGTGGCCAATTGGATGGGCGTGGCTGTAGTGGTAACGGCAGACTGGGTGGGACTAAAAAGTTCAATCAATTCCAACTTTGCAAGATCTTTTTTTCCCCGCGAGAAGTTGAAAGTGACTGATTGAACCTTTTTTTTTTTGCACATGGCGGCGGAGACCTAAAGCGAAAAGGTTTTATAAAACCCAGCTGAAGGCCTAGGACTGGGGCAATGGCGTGCGTGCCCACAGAGAGGGCTCTGAGTGCCGCCTCTGGCACCCGTGCCATAGGTTCGCCACCACTGATATAGACTCTGAGATATGAATCCCTCCCTTGCCACAGCACTTCTGAAAGTAATAGGAGTGGTCTGTGAGAGTACAGAGAAAGTTCAAGAATCCCCCATCAGTCTGAAGAAAGGACTGCTTTTATAATGCATTCCTGGATTCAAGAAAAAAATATCACCATTGTTGACTATTATTGTTGTTGTTATTTTAAAAGCATAACTAAGCTATAGTGAGAGGTAGACTTAACTTTCTCCCTCTTCGTTGCAAAGGTCCTTTTCAAAGGATTGTTCAGCTCAACTACACTGCTGGCATACAATGACTACTCCATCCCTTTGAAGAGAAAGGTTACCGATAGGTATAGAGCTAAAGTTCAAAGTTCTCCATGCTGGGCTGAGAAAGACTCAGGTCTGAACCATCAGTGAATTCCTGTGAGACACAACCAGTGGGCTAGAGGTATCCGAATCAATGATCTATCTTGGTATAAAGCAGCTTCCTATGCTGAGCAATATGAACTTTATTTTGAGAAAACAAAAGACAGCTTAAAATTTGAGCCCTGTGCTTTTAATGACACCCACTTCATCATATAAGATTAAATAGAAAAACCAGCTGAATTACAAGATACAAAATTACACCTTCTAGAAGCATCAATAGATAGTGGAAGCAGCTGCATAAAGACTGGAGTGTTTCTGCCTTTTTCCATCCATTTCCCCATCCTAATTCTTTGTAGGGCTTCAACCCGAAGCTCACTTACTTGGAAGTCAGCTGCATGGGAAGCAAGAGAATTTACTTTCTAATTAAATGCTGTCAACCACCCACCTCCCAGCAGTGAAAAGTCTCTAGGCACCCTTTCCTATCTTATTGTGGGAGAAGAAAAAACAGAAAGGGATGTTGCAAAAGAGATGACAACTCGAAGGACAACTCGACAAGCAGCCATGCATGGTGCGAACTTGCTCTGCAAGACAAATGTATGCAAGAAATCACACAGAGGTACCTAAAGATCTGTCGCCTTTTGTGAGAGCTAGAAGAAAAGCCTTCTTTGGCGAGTCTGTTGGTTAACATCAAAGAAAAGCATTGTTATGGGGTTTCAGGGTCCTCGAGAAAGACTGAAGATCAGAAGGAAGCGTGCGCAAGCTTTACTCACCTGCTTTCGTTCAGGAATCCATTTTGTCCCGACTAACCATCAAGCGGAGCCGCACAATTTGAAACAGAAATGGAAAGAAATCTCATTAGACAATGATTATGGCGGGCTGAAATCGAGACGTATCTGAACATCTCCACAAAGCCCTGTTAAAACTTTTCTATGGCTATAACAATCAGGCAGAAGATCTATAAAAAAAAAGGCAGTCCTCAACTTGCAAAAGATCATTTAACGTTCAAAGTTACAACAGCACTGAAAAAGGTAACTTATGACTGTTTTCCACGCTTATGACGGTTGCAGCATCCCCGTGGTCACGTGATCAAAAATCAAGACGCTTGGCAACCGGCTCCTTATTTATGACATTTGTGCAGTGTCCCAGGGTCATGAGATCACCTTTTGCAAACTCCTGGGGGAGCCAGACCATGTTACTAACTTAACAACTTAGCAACTGTGACAAGAAAGATCATAAAATGGGGCAAAACTCATTTAACAACAGACTCAGTTCCCAACAGAAATGTCGGGATCGATTGTGGTCGTACGTGGAGGACTACCTATACAGCTATGAAGAAATTTGGTGGTCGTCCTCTAACGGTGTCTGTGAACCCATTTGAATGTTCAGTATTTGATTAAACACACAAATCAACTTATGGATACATAGAATATTGAACATCTTCTGGGTCCCATGAAAATGTATCCACGCTTACCTCCCGTGCAAATATGCGTTCCCTAACCCTCTGGTATTCCTCTTCTCGTTCCTCTATGGATTTGCTCCTTCGTCCATCTTGCAGTGGGATCCTAATCTAATGACAAATAGAACTTTGTTCAGTTACAGCCTTACTCTGTGCCAAACCCAGCAGTAAATCTTATGCATACAATCAGCCATTACTTTTAAGCTGGTTGAGAGCAGAACACACTGCGTAGATTTTTTTGGGTAAATTAGTTTGCTCTGAAAATATTTCTAGGTTTTAGCAAGCAAATTTTTTAAAGCCCTTGATCACAACACTTTTGACAAACAAAAACTAACAATTATTTTGCTTTCAATCATCATAGTTTGCATGTATAAAACCAAGTCCATGCAGTCCATGGAACTGGTAGTCGGGCATGCACAACATGACCTCACCTCTGAAATTATAACACAATATCTAAATCTAAGTATCCTGTTAAACTTCAAGCTATCCTTTTTTGTTAAAAGGAATAACAATTTAGAATGTTCCCTTCTTTGCTTTCTAATTCACCAGAATCAAAATAATCTCACAAAATAAAAAGAGGTTCTTAACTCTCAGGTTCAACAATTGAAGCTAGACCTTACTCTTCTCTAATTCAATGAAAATATAAGACCATAAAAAGAGCCCCACTGCATCAAGTCCAGAGCCCACCTTTCCACCATTTTCTGTTACCCAGTGGCCAAGTAGATACACTCTGGAAGCTCACAGGCATAGATTGCATAGATTTTTCACTGCTATTTCCTTCATCTTGGTTATCTTCAGTTGATTATTTGCAAATGGTATTTAAGGGATACTGCCTGTGATTTCAGAAGCAGTAAAAAGTGGTCACTGATGTGCCAAGTAGTTGCCAGGCCGTCTACACTGGTGAGCTACAATTCACCTCCAGTGCCCCCAAATTCCACTAATGACTACATTGCATAAAGGGCTACCTTCATCTATTTGTCTTGAATCTGTCCACATTTAGCTTAAGTGACTTGCCCCAAGTTCTAATGCAGTGTTTCTCAACCTTGACAATTTTAAGGCATGTGGACTTCAACTCCCAGAATTCCACAGCCAGCATTGCTGGCTGTGGAATTCTGGGAGTTGAAGTCCACATGCCTTAAAATTGTCAAGGTTGAGAAACACTGTTCTAATGCAATAAGGAAAAGGCATAGATTGCACGTAGGTCCACACAAACTTTGGATTCTGTAATTAACGCTTTGCATGTTGAGTTGAATTTGTTACTTTCCAATCCATTCCAGCTCTTCTTGGAGCGCCCCACAAACCCTTTCAAAAAATACGATTCTGAAAACTAAATCACCAAAAGCCACTTCACCAGCCTTCCTGCAATTTCTTAAATTCCCAGTCAATATACCCAAATCTGTATCATGCTACTAGGAATTACAGGTGGTTGTCCCTTCGCTGCCAGAGGGCATCAGATTAGAGAAGGCTGCTTTCCATGCAGATATGATTCTGACTGAATGATATAAAACATCTTGTGGGAACTTAACCAAGTAAAAAAAATATCGCAAACAAGCAGTGTCAGTAAACAAGCCCAAGTGATGAAAGCTAATAAAAATGATTGTTGTGCTTCATTAATTATGGAATGCAATCAGGTAAAAGTTATATCTGGCCTCTCCTACCTGATTATCATCTCGATCAATGCTGGTATCATCTCGCTTGAGGATAAACCTCTGTGGAAAATCAGAGTTCTTCTCATCTTTGATGTGTTCAGAGAACCTCTGCTCAGGACTGCGGAGAAGACCCAAGCCAATTTTTAGCAGATGAAATGGTGAAGCAGTCAGGATGTAAAAGAAGTAAAAGATTTATTCACATGCCCAATACATCAATGCGCCTGTGAGGAGATATTAGGGTGGAAAAATCAGTGTTCTTCTCATCTTTGGGCAAGGGCCATCTGAACTGCATGTAACCTCTTTGAAGGTTTGCCCAGGAAATGACTTTTTTTCTTCTGATCACGGTGAATGCTGAATGTAATGAATTATATGATGAATATTCAGTCCAATGAAGTGTATACAGTCCATCTGAGTGCACCGGTGCATGGAAATGCAGACCACACTAGGTGGATTAAAACAAGAATGTGCCCAACAAAGTACTCAGAGAATCTCTGCTCAGGACTGCGGGGAAGACCCAAGCCAATTTTTAACAGATGAGATGGTGAAGCAGTCAGGATGCAAAGGAAGTTAAAAGATTTATTCATGTGCCCAATACCCCAAAGCGTCTACGAGGAGATACTAGATTCACAACTGCCATATGCCAGATTTCTGCCAAGCTATCCTCTCCATTCCCTCAAGAGACTTCCCTTCAGACCACTTTTGGTCAATCCTTAATACTGGTCTACCTATACTATCCAGATCAGCTCAAAATTTATCTAGGTAAAGCTTTATACTTGCAGCAGAATTGCATCCAAGTTTACCAAGCTTTGGCCCAATAAGAAGCTTTGGGGGGGACTCAGAAATGTTTGTCTCAGTGAAGCCAGAGAAAATTTCCTAAATCATGTTTGGCACTGAGGTGCTATTTCTGATAAAAAATAATGCTCAGTGGGACATACTATTCTTTTCTTTCTAGCTACGTGCACAGGAACTGGATCCTCTAGCCTAAAAATCTCACAGAAGGTGCATTTTCACCTTTGTTGCTGTTGTTGTTGTTGTTGGTTCTGCAAAGCAACCTACCCCAGCAAATCAACATAGAATCTTCTTTACTGCCTTAAATGAGGAATTTCAATTTGAAAACCTGTAGAGAATTTGGAATCGTTCAAAAAAATCACTCGAGCCGTTTCTCTATTGGGAGGTGGGGGGGGCAGAAGAGGTTGGATTCATTTCCGGTCCAACCTGTGTCAAGAGAAACTCATCCACCTTCCACTGTGTTCTTACACTTGGCTTTTGCTCCCTGCCTCCTCCTCAGCCCAAGGGTACTTATAACCTTAAGGCTGCCAAGAAAGCCCAGTGTCCAAATGGTGTCTTTTTGAAGGGATTCTAAACTTGTGGCCTGTAGATGCTGAAATTAAAAACAACAACAGCAACAAAACAAAATCTCATGCTGGTAGGCCCTTCACAGGGCAGTTTTAAAGTGCTACCTAACATTAATGCCAACATAATTACAGGAGTGCTCTGGGAAACTCCAGCACACCCTGTAGAAAACAGAGAGGAAAAGTCATCTCCTGTTTCCTGCTGAAGAGGAAGGAAGAAAATAGGGAAGAAAGTCATAGCATTTTAGGTGCTTTTCTTCCATCAATGGGAAAAGCTAGAAGAATGGGGGAAAGGTTTGTGATCAGGAAAGGAGCGGTGTGTCTTTTTGGATATGTGGGCTGTGTGTCTGATAGAAGTTTCCAAGCAACTGGAGGGCACCATGCTGCCTGTCACAATTTTAGGAGAAGAGGTTGTCACAAAGAACTTTGACTGATATATTCCACTGCTGTCATATTAATCAATTAGGCAAAGCAAGGGAAGGAAAGACAAAAATAATCTCAAGGTTGCTGTAAGCAGCCTGCACAAGGAGCAGTAAAATATGATGGTCCTAAGGGTATCTCATAACTTTACAATTGTAGGATTAGCTAGTTAGAAAGAGCTCTGACTATTTCAAAAAGCAACAGAAAGGTTAAAGGACTAAGAATGTCATTTATTTCCCAGCACCCCCTTCCTAGCTGAAATGCATTCTTGCCTTACATTCTTGTGTTGCCGGTCTTGTTGATAATCACAGCTTTCCCCGTTTGGTCTACGTTGTGGTCCATGCCAAAATAGGCAGCCACCCGATGTAGAAGCATTCTGTGGTATGAGGTCATTTGAGGAAACTTCTTGAATTGATTGCTGACCACAGCAAGGGCAAAGGGGAAAGAGGAGAAAGAATAAGACAATAAAAAATTAAAGCCAGGAAACACTACGCTGCTTCAATTAAAAGTGTCATCTCAGAATAACTTATACTGAAATTGTTTACTAAAAGCAAGGGGGCAAGGGAGTAATGAAGCAACCATGACTTTAAAAAGCTGGCAAACTAGGTACAGAATGAAAAATGCAAACTCCCGATTGCCATGCCATTACATGAAATGCCCTAGGCCTATGAAATGAAATGAAAGAAAATGTTACTTGGAAAAGAGAAAGACTAACTCTGAGCAATAACAGATTCAGGATGTCTTCAATGGACATAAACACTTTCTAAAATATAGCCATCTGCAGAGAACATCCTGCTATGGTATAAGGGAAAAGGGCATTTGAGGAAAAGAATAACTCGTTTTTGACATCTTCAGCATCTCTTGATAAGTCTAAATCAAAACTAAACATTTATTTGTCAACACAGTCTCCTTTTCTGTTGCAGCTGAAAACCCAGCAACCAGAAAAACCTAGAACTGTGCACGTACAGTGTGACAAGAACAAGAATCAGTAATTAACTTTTACCATCTAAAATACTATTTTATTATTTTCTTGACAGACTTAGACTGGGAAGGTCGCATTAATGGTTTCAATTTTTTACTTGAAAACAAAACAGTAAACTCACACATATTAGAATCAATTTTTGACCACAGTGGAGCCTGGAATTTCAGATGTTAAGTCGAGGCACCTCGTGACAGACTTGATTTTATGACCATTTTTTACAACAGTCGCAAAGTGAGTTTTTAAGTAGTTTTTAAGTATATCATGTGCTTCTTAAGCAAATCCATACTTCCAAATGGTGTGGGGGGTTTTTTTTGCCAGAAACCAGCAAAAAATGCCAGAACCCCATTAAAAAAAAAGTTGCATGTTGCAGTCATGTGACTATGGGGCATTGGAACCAGTTATGCAAGCCAATTGCCAAATACCTGAATTGCAATCAGGTAACTGCGGGGTGGGGGGAGGGCAGTCAACCAGTTATACGTCAAGAACAACCTGTAGCTTCCCATCAATTGCTGCCTGCCTTCCTCAATTTACAGTCTTCCATAACCTGGCCCTCTCCAGATGGGGCTTTCTTCTTGTGATCATTCTTGAATTGTAGTTATAACACATCTATGTGGTGCCAAATGGGGACAGAACAAATAAATATTTGTTTCCAAATGAGTAATGCTCAAATAGATCTTCCTGAAAACAGAACATGTGGGCAACCTTCATCATGAGTTCCATGGCAAGTGGTGGGATGAGTTATCAGAGACACCCTCATTCAGCAAATTGAACAGATTCAAAGGTCAAGCTAAACTACTGTGGAAAGCATCCATTCATTTAATACCAATGCGAGCAATTAAAGCATCACTAGCAACTCGGTAATATTGCCTTACTCACACAATATTGAAAGTTTATTAAAAATCATTGACAATTTAAGTAACCCAGAAAAATCTTATCATCTCTACTAGTAGCTCATTTAGTACACCTGGGAGTAATGTGGACTCTTCTAGGATAGGCACTGAGGCAACTCTTCCTATAGTTTTATGCAATGAATGGCTTGCGCAACCAATCCATTTCAAGTCATGTGTACGGGCTATAGGAATAATGACTTAAAAATCGATATATTACAATGTTAATATTATATGCACGTATCTCTATGTAGTAAGCTGCTCAATGTCACTTGGCATCAACGGACATGTAAATACCGAGGGAAATAAACCTAAAGCATGAACCGTATTATAGCTCTTGCTTGAATCTTGGTATATTCTGCCCCAAACAAACAATTGTCAGGGTAGGATAGTTGAGTGTATAAATTATTTCATTTTATGATCAGAATAATCCTGTAATTAGATTTGGCCAATTATAAGGACCCAGTAACAACGATCCCTGATAATCAAAGCTGCAAATCGATAAGTCTCCAGTCAGAGCTGTTCATATTACAGTACTTTTAACCTGCTGAATCTGTGATTTTCAGCTAATCCTAAGAAATTGGCTGGGCATTACATGATTACATTACATATACGATACACACACACACACACAATGATTATAGGCCACTGAGGCTTAGCAAACATGTTTATTATAGACTTGAAGATAGCTTTATTATAAAGGGCTGGAAAGTTCTTTGACAAATAAATGAATAGCTGCACAGTCAATTGAAGATGTTTCTAACGCTGGAGAAGATAATGATAAGCCGACTTTGTTTTTATATCAACTTTTTATTATGTTGAGTTCAGAGAAAACTGTACAAGCTGCGATGTGTGCAGAGGTGTTCACACGCGTGGCAATTAGGGTGGCTGTGTGAAAAAGGTAAAATGCTGCCCATAAAAAAAGACATGGCTTTTGACTGCACGGAGGGTACTGCCCCCTCAACTTGGTTGACACCCTCTACCCCAAGGGATGCCCTGAAATTTTGTGCTGCAGCAGTTTGTGGATCCAATTATGACTGGAAGGCCCTGGCTGAAATCCCCATTTAACTGTAATGCCTTCTGAATGATTGAGAATATTTCCAAAGATAAAACTGGGAGGGAGGGGGGGGGAGAAGAAGAATCTTGAAAGCTACGCTAAGCTGCTTGGAGAAAGAAAAAATGGAAAAAAAATACCAAAATGGCTTTATATTTTTATGCTGCTGGTTCAATTACGAACCAGAGAATTGTATAACTGGGAATAACATCTACTACATTCAGAGACATTATTCTGAATCCAGATGCAGCATTTAAAGAATTATTTGTAAAAATACTAAACAAATGGAGAACACGGAAACTCCATAGCTGCTCTATATCAATCCTAAAAAAAACAACAACACCTGACTGGGTCGTACATGAAAATGTACTAACTTTTAATCTGTTGAGGAAAAGAGGGGAAGGAAATAGAGCGCCTGCATTTTCATCAAATGGAAGACTTTCATCTCAAGACAAGAAAGCTTGTGGTCTCTACGGTTACCCTTACTCATAAATCAACCCACATTACTTACTTGTTATCGTTAATAAATTCCAGGATCTCCTGTTCTAATTTTAGCAGCATCATCCTATCCCTGTCAAAGAAAATCATGGGAGAAATAAAGCAAAACATTCAGTGCGGGAAAGAAAAGTCTCTTTGAAAAATCTGCAGATTTATGTCCTCCTCTTATTCTAATATTAAGCTAAAAGCTCAAGGTAATTCAACAACAAAGGCGCTGTTACCTGTTCTGCACTGACAGATGCAAAACAGATGTAGCAAGTTAAAAGCAGTACTTTTTTTTGTTCAGGCATTTTCGTTTCTGCATAGAGACTAGAAACACTGTAGCCCACAGGCTCTCATACATTTTCTATTATTAAAGAGAAACGGTATATCAAAACATGGCTACCGTGAGACATTCAGTTCCGATGCTGTTTGTTAATGAAATAGCAGCAGCACAGTAGAGCTATTTAAAGGAGGATTTTTAGAATTAACACTGTTCTTTGTAACTGTGTAACTCATATCCATTCCCCCCCTTTCTGTTCTTTCATCTATAGTACATAAGATACGCTAGTATACAAATGTAGCATAGTAGGGTATCAATGCATCTATTTTAATAAAAGTCTGTGCTGCTAGATAGTCGGCCTAGTCAGTGGTTCAAGCTTTAGAGAAAGACTAAGACCAAGCTTAAAGACCCATTGGAACCATGAAGCTTACTTAGTAACTCTAGGCCAGTCCCATTTTCTCTATCCCACCTATGCTACAGGGTTATGTACATCCCTCTTACACCTCTGGAGAGACCGCAAAAATTTAAATGAGCAAGCAAATAAGTAGCAACATGCTTGCATCATTAATGATTCAGCTTTCCGTAATTTTCTAAAGCCTCAGATGAATGATGTAACAAAGCTAAGATTACAGTCCAGTAACAACGTGAGTAGGAAACCTGTAAACATCATGTTACGCTAAGAAAAACGTAATGAGATTTTATTCATTATTACATATTTCAGATAATCTACCGACAGGGTCAACTTACTCTACCAAATGTTGTCCTGTTATATCGGACTACATGATTAGGCAGACTATGGGGAAAGTTCTCACAAATATTCTGATTTCCATTAATGGTAAATTGGTAATGGTAAAGGAAAGGAAGATACTAATGAAGTCATAGACCAATCAGCACTAGTCTAAGAACTATTATCATGATTCCTTGGAGCACTGTTACCAAGAACCTGGGCCTTAGTCAAAGCCCAATTCCCTTCCAATTCCAGATCTCACCGTTGCTGTGTCAAGCTCAAGACTTTCCAGAGCAAGATAAGCATGTAAGTGCTTGGGAGTAGCAAGAATAAGTAAACTGAGAGGACACTCTAGGCTTAATTTATATGTAATTCATGTTCTCGATACTTACATCATTCCATGATTTCAGGAGGGCATGGAAGGCTGCTTAGCTGCTCCATCCTACCCTTAGCAGACACATACCAACATAAACATGTTAGATTTTTTGGCAGCTAACACTACCCTTGGTTATATATGCGCCTCTTATTTTTAATTCTGCATGCAGTTGCAGGATCCACAACAAAACCGCTCCTGAACCTACCTTGGATTTTTCTTCAGTGTATTTACTAAAAATTCATGCAAATCTATTCCAGTGGAGTCTGTGTATTCCTGGCTGGAATCTATAACAGACAACAGAAGCAGACTCAAGAAATGACCTACATATAGAAGAAAAAAAAAGAAAAAAGGAGGGAGGGAGGGAGGGAGGGAGGGAGGGAGGGAGGGAGGGAGGGAGGAAGGAAGGAAGGAAGGAAGGAAGGAAGGAAGGAAGGAAGGAAGGAAGGATCTTGCATTCAAGCACTTTAATGCAGATAATGGAATGGACATAATTTTAGTACAATCTTTTCCATCCATTTGGATACTCAAATGTTGCACTATAATTCCCTTTTGTCAAAATACTGCTCAGAATAAGAGTAAACAATGAGAGCTATAGTCCAACTCATGTAAAGTTATAGTTGAGAGCCTATGAGGTATTTTCTGTCAGATATTACATGCACTTCACTCCACACTCCAAACTTCTCCCTTTAAATTCAACTTTAAACCATGAGGATAAATTGGAGAGTTTAAATTAAATTAAAATATTAAATTTTAAATATTTCAATGTGACTATTTTATTTACTAGTCATTCCACCATAATGGAAGGGCTTTCACCTTGTGTAGTTCCTAAAAGATGAATATATAAATCCAGACTACAGAAAGACAAAGGGCTTATTTGATTGAAGCATGTTATAATACATCCCTGAATTCTTGTTATAAAGTATCAGCCTTTATCAATGTAATCAATGAATTTGAATATTTCTTAAGGTAGTGAAGGGGATCATCATTATCATTACTATAAAATGACATAGACCAGAAATAGAGCAATCTTGTTTTCTTAGAGTGCAAATTGTCAAGCCTCAGTGCTTGATCTTCAAACCTGGCTATTAACAAAAATTACACTAATCCATCAGAAGAAGTTGTGTGGGACAAATCATCACACACCAGGTTTTTATAATGAAGTATGTTAAGTTCAGCATTATTTACAAAGTCTTTTCATCTCAGAGGAGCAGAAAGCAAACTCAGATGTTGTTAGCAGTTTTGGGCTTCTTTTATTCAAATTTCTCATTCTTTTCATCCCAAATTGCAGAGTTTAGAGTTCCCAGCCCAGGTGAATTGGTTGGTTAAGTAGGATCTGTGCTTTATAGGTCTATTTAACCAACCAGTTCATACTTCTGCACACCAATGAACAATTTAAATCAAGCAACTCAGTGGAACATCAACAAACAGAGTTTAAATATTGGAAGCAATTATTTAGTGGGCTGCAGCTCAGTGGAAGTGTGTATGTTTGCTAAGCTATGTCTGCTGGAACATGGCATTCTCCAGGAAAGCAAAGTCTCATTCACATGCCTTCTCATGACTGACATATATAACTCAGTCTTAGACCCTCTGTGTGCTGACAAAATGTGGACACGGGAATCCCCAATACTGAGTGATATATAGGATAATTGTTTCATGCAAATCTGAAGATAGCTTTTCCAGTTTCGCAGGTTATTTCTGCTAAAGAATGGCAGATTCTTCTCTTTTAATCCTCAGGATTATTAGTTCTTTTAAATTTGATGCCGGGGGTGGGCGGAAAGGGGGAGGCAAAGAGAAATGTATTGCTATCTAAGCTTACAAGAATAATTCTAAAATACTTTCATACAGCTCTGAGATGGTGAAGTCTGTGTGTAGTGTGCCAGTGGAAAGAAAGAAAGATCTACAGGTAACCCTCTTTGAGCGGGCATTAGACAAGCGGTTGTAAGTCGAGGACTATCTGTACATGGAGGAAATTTGGGACAAAGTTGTGAGAGAATTTTGTTTTCATTTTTCACCCCTAGGAGAGAAAAGAGGATGGAGGGATTGAACCAGGAATTTGGTATAGCTCTGTCCTGTGTGTTAGAAACTTCCTCAACTCACTATGGAAATGGCCCAAAGAAAAAGATCTGAGGTTTCCTAAATAGACAGTTACCACTTTGCGTAGGACAGCTATGTGGCATGTGTATATGTACTTGTGTACATATGTGTATATACACATGTCTACATTACCCATATATGTATGTATATGTGTATGTGTGTATACACACACACATACATATATGCACATACATACATATATGCGCATATGCGCATGTACAAACACAGAGATATTTATATATAATTTGCTACAGTGAAACCATAAACTTCATCATGTACATCTTCATTCCAATCTGGTCTTCTGCCTTCACTGAATCTTATCACCAGGGGAAGTTTTTTTGTGGGAAGAAATCTAAGTGTTCTCTCATTGGCAATGGGGAATATTATCAAAGTGTGCACTTTCACGCAAATCGCAGTCTTTACATGCTCTTCCACATTAAGATTTTTAAAAAACATAACAGCATTAGTTTTAAACTTTTCTAACTATATAAGGCTGCATTTTTTTTCTTTACTGTGTCTTCAATGAGAGTATATAGTGGCTAATCAACACATTGTGATTTGAGTAGACCCAGACGAGGAGGCTCAGATACAGAAAAATGACTGGATGATTTGGGCCCGGTTCCATCACTCCAACCAATCTACCTCACAGGAGTGTTGCTTAGCGGGAAAATTATGGCTATGTATTCCTTGAGGAAAGGCAGGATATGCAACTAACAAATAAATGATCAACAAATTGAATGACATCAAATATATTACACAAGCTTCAAGGATTATTAAAACGTGTTACTAATTCACTTTTAAGTTTTTAGGAAATGTGTCTTTATTAATTTACTGCCATCGTCCAGGGGCCTGAAATTTTACGAAGAGCAGATGTGACTGGAACCTAAGATTGTCTTACCTCTAGACAACATTTTCTTGGGGGCCTTCTCTTTGTTTTTCTCTTTTTCTTCTTTTTCGGGACCATCTTTTGCAGATTTGTCATCTTCCTTGTCAGATGGGCAACTGATGTGCAAATGTATGATATCCTAATGACAGGACAAAAGCTGTATTTGCTGATGCTTTGCAATCAACAGAAGCTGGAAGCATCGTATGATCAACTTTTTGGATCTAGGAAGGAATTTTACTTTGGGTCAGGTTGGCCACCAATCACTGAAGATTCTGGCCTACCCTTCTCCATGTGGCTAAGTTCTTATCTGTATGTGAGCTTTAAATGTATATAATATATGTGGAATCAATAATTTTTGTATGCTATCAACGTTCCCTACATATGAGGCAAACAATAAATATACTAAAAATATTGATTTGAATTGGACAGAAGGCTAGACTAGCCAGGTTGTTTTGTCCCTGTTTTTCCTTGCTTACCCCACCCAAAAAAAAAAAGGGGGGGGAAGAATGTGATATTTCACACTAAGAAAACATTAAATTCTGCTTAGGGAGCCAACCAAGAAATGATCAATTAGATGTGAAAATGGAAGTCTTTTCCAGATCAGATAGGTTAACAGCCCAGTGGATTTTGCACTGATATTTTCTAAGCATAGCTCACTTGCTTGAATAATCTACATTACTGGGTTGGTAAATCACCTCTCCAGTATGTGCCACCATTCTTGATTTTGTCTTCTTATTATAGCACCCAATGCCTATAGCACCCTACCTGATCTATGGTGCTTTACTATATATGGATGATCATAGTTTGTATCATTTTCTGCATAGATTGCTGTTCTACAGGAAGGAGATATTCAAGTCCCCCAATATGTAGACATTATTTGGAAGCACTAGAAGACTGTAATCAGACCATTGGAGTTTACCGATACGCCAATGGTATATCAATATCACTTTTAATGCATTTTAACTTGGCTATCGCGTTGCCACAAGATGCTATTGGTTCAGACAAGTTTTGCTCAAGATGTCTTACCTTAATCTATGCCAGAAATAATTAATACTGAAAGGGATTTTTTACCCCCACCCCCACCTGAAAAGGGTATTTAGTTGTTGTTTGGCTTACTTGGGTTTCCAAAGGCCCATCCACAAAGGGACTAGAGGATTCTTCACATACAGCCAAGCTCCTCACTAATTTCAGTTTCGAATTTGACTGAAACAAACAAACACACAAATGCTTCTGAAGTTAAGATGCAGCTGACTACAGCCTCCTTTTGATGTGTCATGGACCTGCCAGTCATCTACTAGTAATTAAGGTAGCACTATCTATCAGAAAGATAAGATTCCTTTTTTTTTTTTTGCCATGGAGCAATACAAAGGGTATCATCTCCATCAATATTAGTAAGCACATCACTGAGACAAATTTCTTCTCTTGGCATCTTAGATGGGGTCCCATTTTATATGACAATTTGCTGCTCCATCTGACCTCAGTTTCTACCTGAGCCTAAAGGACAAATACATGATTTGAGCTTCTCAGTTGCAAATTCATTACATAATCCCCCGCCTGAAAAGATGTAGCAAAAGTAAGTAATAAATAAGTAGATTCTTCCTGTCTTAATTCCAAACCTATCATTCTACAGCTGGCACCTTACATGTATTTTCAACAAGCATAGCCACTCTGGGTGGTTTGCCAGGTCCATTGAAAAATATGCTAAAAATAAAACTTTGTCCCAGACCGCTTGTAGATATTTTTTTTTGGGGGGGGGGAGGTTGGGGCAGGGAATGGTGATGCCCCACAATATTTTACATAGGTCAAGCCCACGTGGTGAAATACAGATTCTTGAGAATGTACTGTACACATTTTCATATAAATAAATGGAAATAAATTAATCTGACTCCAAGGACTACCAGTTGGAGGCCTTTACTAATGTAAGGAATATTAAAAGCATTCAGGACAAATGCCTAAAAGAGCAAGCTTTAATTCAGTAGTGATTTACTCTCAAATTATAAAAAGTAAAACTCCTGTCAACCCTGTTTTTACAGATGTAGCAAGCTTAGATTTATTTATTTTATAATTTTTGTAAGCAGCACCACGATTCTGAGTGGAACCAGCAAAGCAAAACAAGATAAGAACTCTGGGCTGCACCGATTCAGCCTGGAGTGGCCGAAAAGTATGAATGAATTCTCCTTCACAACCAAAAAAGGAAAACAAAACCCAGTATGTGGTTAACAAGCATGCCAGGCAAAATGAAAGTGAGCTTGGCTTTCCTCACAGTGTGGCATTCCTCTATGTACAGGGGGGGGAAATAGATGGGGAAAGATTTAATAATAGGGCATTCCATCAACACCCTAACTTATTGTATGCAACAGAACAACCGAGACATAGCTAAAACAAATGAGATTCTAAAGCCAGAACTAGAACAAATTTAACATGTTCACACGGCTTCCAGAAGGTGGATAACTTTCAGCATGCTTTTCCAAAAACTGTCTGCTCTACAGTTGTGCTTTAGCCACAGAGAGAATAGGGGCCTTAGCCTCCCACCTTGAGATGGCTGGATAAAGTGCCTGTGAGCTACTCAAAGGACACACCTAAAAAATCCTTGCGGGACCTAGGAATAAAATGCAATAGCAGTGGCATTCTGAGCCTTGAAATCGTTTATGAACTCAAGACTGGGAAGTACTGAATCTGGCACCTTGTTAGGAAGGCTGGGACTTGGAATTAAGGATGGAAACAGGTTTAGTGTTACATCACCATCTTCTGAAGTATAACGATAGAACAACATGAAGAGATTGACACGGACCGGAATCTCTTACCTTAGCTCTTTTTCTAGCATGTCCGTGATTGGATGTTCTCCTCTGTTTAAGGAGAAAAAAAAAGAGATGGGAATAGGAAGAAGGTGAAAAGTTATTCTCTGCGTTCTTTATACATACTAAGTCATATGCTAGGAGATGAACGAACATGTTATGGCTGAGTTTGCAGAAAAGGCCACGTTGACTTGTTTGATTAAGGAGGGAACTACAACTACTTTCATAAAAGACTAGAAACGCTTTATTCATATATTTGTTTTGCTGAAAGTGGATAAAAATGAACTGATTTCATGATTTTTGTTAATTAAAATATTTTTATGGGAAGAAGGGAACTATGATATGCAATATGTTAGGAAGGAGGTGATAATTGCTATGTTTGTAACTGCTGCAAAGATTAGAAGTTGCTTCTTTAGACAACTTTCTTTTGGGGGTTTTTCCCCTAATTCTTCACTTTTCTTTTACCTTTTTATAATTTTTTTTCTTCTTCCAAATTTCTGTAATTTGTTTAAATCTCAGTAAAATCTTCTTTTAATAAAAAAAATCATAAAAATGTGAGTATGTGCTGTAAAAATGTGCCTCCCAAGCATCCCCAAAGCTTAAAGAAGCAGGGGTGATAGATATAAGTCAGGGGTAGGCAACCTTGGCTCTTTTATGACACGTGGACTTTGCTGGCTCAGGCATTCTGGGAGTTGAAGTCCACGCGTCATAAAAGAGCCAAGGTTGCCTACCCCTGGTATAAGTGCACTGTTGACTTGGAGAAATTACCTCTCTGTCCATAGATGAATGACAAAGGCATAGCAGTTGAAATCCAGCAAGCACAATTAACAATGGAATCAATTACCCAGAGAAATGGCAGTACTCTCCTTCACTGGATGTGCTAGACATGGTTGCAGATTTCTGGGAGTTGGAAGTTACACAGGATTTAAAATTGCCAGAGTTGAAAAACATCACATTTGCTCTTTGTCAATTCACTTTGCCAATAAATTAAATTAGGTTTCTGTACTTGGAAGATGGACTCAGTGGACTAAATTACTGTTTCATTTTTAGGATTCCCATATTAGCTTTACCCAATCTTGTGTTTATCCAAGTAGGATAGAAATAAAATTCCCAAAATTTTCATCCAGCAGAAATCTACATAGAGCACCAGAAGCCTGCCCTATGCCTCTTCTTCCTTTCTTTACCATTTTGTCAAACTGCATATATACCAGTGATGGCGAACCTTTTAGAGACCGAGTGCCCAAACTGCAACCCAAAACCCACTTATTTATCGCTGGGTGCCAGGTGGGCGTGGCCCACTGGGTGGACGTGGTGGGGTGATCATGGCAGATTGGGTGGGTATGGCCAAGGTGGGCGTGATCACCTCAGTGTTGCTCGTGGGGAGGGATGCCTGTGGGGGCCGGGCAGGGTTGGGGGAGATCCAGGGGGTCTCTGGCAGGTGGGGCGGTGGGCAGGAGGCTCATGCTGCGGGGTGAGGTGAGGCAAGGCGAGGCAGGGCGGGGTGCCATTGTCGCAGGGTAAGGTGAGGCAGCGGCCGGGGTGGCTGCTGCCTGAAACCATCAGCCCCCGCACACAGAGGCCAGTGAGCGCATGGGTGTGGGATACATCCGGCCATGTGGGACCTCGCCAAGTTAGCGGGCAGCTGGTTGAAGAGGGATGATTGCCATCTCCAGGGCATGGCGTGCGTGCCCACAGAGAGGGCTCTGAGTGCCGCCTCTGGCACACATGCCATAGGTTCGCTACCACTGATATATACTATTAGTTTAGCATATGAAGGAGGAGGCAACTGCTTTTCAGAATTAACATAGGCACAATGCTGAACATTTAACACATTCTGTCTTCATCCAATTAATAATAAAAGACTGGGTTTCCATCATGTTAAAAGAAATTTTTTGTATTACACCAAGAAATGATGGCGGTTTCTCTACTGAACGATATACTTTCTTTCAAAGGAAAGATACTGTCAGTCCTAGGCCTATTTCTGAAATTCTTATAAGAAGTATAAATGTAATAGCCAAAAGGCTTGGCGTTAGTTGATTACTTCACATCACAAAATTACACAGCCTGTCATTTCCACAACACACTTACCAGAGTCTTAAGAAAAACTGAGTCATTTGTATGTTTAGGGAAAATCCAAAAAGATCTGATGACAGCAAATTAAACATCAAAAGGGCAAATGAAGAAACAGAATGCAGTTCAAGTAAAGAAATATGTTGTGTCCAAAACAAAATTTGTATCACTTAGTTACAGGGGCTTAAAAACAGACTTCAATTCTCTTCCAGTCCCAATGCCCTTCTTCCTTCCCTTAAATTGACTTTTAATTCCCAACTTTTCTGTCCAGATTTTGCTAATCCTACACTTATCATGCTTAAAATGAAAACTATGCATGTAGCAGCAACAAAACTTGCAACTTGTATATTAAGATCAATTTCACCTTTCCCATCAACTGCCTTTCAATGCTACTGAATTTCCAATTACAATATCCTTGTGCTCAGGCACTTTTATTAAACTGCTTTGTATAACATTGAATAGGGATGGCACTATACCAATACACCATGATTCTGAGCTTAGAAGGGTCTTTTTATTATTGTTTTCTTGATAGAATTCAGAAGTAGCCCATTAAGGTGGCAAACACATCGGAATAAGTCTTACTAGACCCACTCAGACTTTCTTCCAAATCCTGTAGACAAGAATTACTATAAAAAAAAAAACTACAGGAACAAGAGGGCAACACTAAATTGAAAGAATTTCATATAACCCCCCCCCCCACCAAATATCACATAAAGTAAAATGGTAGCAATTTCTAACATTACTTTATTTGCACTACACTCCAGGAATGGGCGCATAACTCTACAAATAAGGTGACTTCATATATGATTAAATACTGGTGTGACCTCATGAGGATTAGCATTAGACATGTTGAGTGCTCCATCTTCACAAAGAGCAAGTTTCCAGGCCTTGAAATCAAAAAGGCAGGAAGAAACAGACAAGAGCTTTGCTTCCATAAATTTCTTATAATAAAGTCATCTCATCTGAAAACAAGATGCTCGCTGGAATTCTTGCATTAGAACCTTAACTTCTCTTCTAATAAACAATACTAAATAGAGCTCCTAAATTCTTATTCCTTGAATTAACAGTCCATTCTAGATTGTACTGATATTTGGTGGTGGTGATGGGGTTATATGGGGGGGGGGGAGGAGAAGGAGAGGAAGGAGAACTCTTTTATACAAAAAAAAAAGATGAAAAAATGGCCGAAGGAACAGCTGTTAAGAATTTAAATAGGGGTGGAATAGACAGCCAAAATAAGAAATGGATGAATATGTGAATAAATGAAACGGCATTCTATTTCAGATTTTGAAGATGGAGGAGGAGGTGATGTCACATTAGTACTTTGGGTGGACTTTCAGGGATGGAAGGAAGAGGATGAGTTGTTTAAGTGGGCAGGAAATGTCTAAGCAGGAGATGATGGTAAAACTGAGATATATTCTATGGCAGGGCTTTTCAACCAGTGGTACGGGTACCACCTGTGGTACATTGGCACCTGGCAGGTGGTACGCGACCATCCTAGAAAAGTGGTAGCGGGGGAGGGAAATGAGCTGAACCGGTGGCAGCACCGCACAAGCCTGAGCGACAGATGGCTGGAGCTGCAGGGCTGTCAGGGCTCAGCGGAAGCGCCAGGATCAGTGCCACTTTCCAGCTGATCGGTGCTTCTTTGGGGCTGTCAGGGCTCAGTGGAAGCACCAGGATCAGCACCAGGCTCCAGCTGGAGCTCGGCGCTGATCCTGGCGCTTCTGCTGAGCCCAGAAGAAGCACCAATCTGCTGGAAAGCAGCACTGATCCTGGCACTTCTGCTGAGCCCAGAAGCGCCGATCAGCTGGAATGTTGCAGCATCTCCAGGGTCTTGTGATTTACATTCAGATGCTTGGCAACTGATTCATATTTATGACGGTCACAGTGTCCCAGGGTCATGTGAAGTGACCAAAACCTGCTGCAACCACCCAGTAGATGGGGGGGAATAAGAACCAAACACCTCCCAACCCCACGCCCACTGCCAATTCTCAACAGAAATGCTTACAATAATGAAACCCTCGGACAGGAGGAAGAGCGCCACTGGGTGAGCAGGCAAGTGTCTTGCTCGGCTGTGGCTTGGGGGTACTTTTTTCAGTGCCATTGTAACTTCGAACAGTCACTAAGCGAACTGTTGTAAGTCGAGGACTACCTGTACTTTATCACTTTTTTCCTTTTGGGGGGGGTCATCAAGTTTTTGACACCTTTCTAGGCGCCTGGTGGTACTCGGATGTTGCCATATCCTAAATGTGGTACAATGGGTGAAAAGGTTGAAAAGCCCTGTTCTATGGAGCTTCTAATGGATTAATTTAGCAACGTCACTGAAGATAACTGACCAAGATATTAGAAAATTAAGTCCAAGGTCTGTAGCCAGTCAATTGTGGGCTTTCATGGGCTATCTATGAGACATTATGTCCAATTACCTGAGATTCTTGCCGTACGCTGCTCTCCTCCCCGTCCTTCTCAGGCTCCTCTTTGCTTGGTGACCTGGATGCAAATTTGGTTTTGTTCAAAGATTCCTCAACCAATCTTTTTTCTGATTCTTTCATTATCTCCAGTGTCTCCTGTGTGGTGTTGCTGTTAGACATCTTCAGCACAGTATAGTGTTAGTGATGGATACCTGCAAGCAGGAGGAGAAGGGTTGGAATTTGTTTGTTTTTAACATACCTCTATTATTTATAACATTTCCTATTTTTTGCCTCTTTCTTAATTGAGGCTTGCCTGAAAGAGGCTTTTTGGCTTCTTAAAATCCTTCAGGATCCACAGAACATTCTTTCTATTATTGGGAGATATACTACAGATTCCAGATCAATTCATACCTATTACAGTTGAAAATAACATTCAAGTGCTCCTTCCCTACTCAGTTTTTGACAAAGCAGCCCCCAAATAGTTGTTCTTTTTGATAGAGGAATATGTTATTGGATTTTCTATTTTCCCCACAAGAATAATCCTATGAGGTGGGTTGAGCTAAGACAGGAACTGGCCCACAGTCACCCAACCAGCTTTCATGCCAAGGGATGTTTAGAATTCACAGTCTCCTGGTTCCTAGGCCAACACCTTACCCATGACCTCAAACTGGCTCTCTTTTAATATATAGTATCTTCTTATCAAGAATATGGCTGGGTGACTTGCATTCTCTTTTCCAACCCAATATTGTGCTAATCAGCCCCTTCTCAGTGCCTAGATTGGCCAGTAAAAGATATCCCACAGATACACTTAGCATGTAATGGAGTATATACAGCACACACTATGATCTAGTACACTTGAAATATTATTTATTACTGGTATTTCTATGCTGCTCTACTCCAGTGATGGCAAACCTTTTAGAGACCGAGTGCCCAAACTGCAACCCAAAACCCACTTATGCATCGTCGGGTGCCGGGTGGGTGTGGCTGGGTGTGGTCCATTGGGTGGGCGTGGCTGCAGTGATAATGGCAGACTGGGTGGGACTAAAAAGTTCAATCAATCAATTCCAACTTTGCGAGATCTTTTTTTCCCC